TAAAATATATGTAAAACGATGAAGCAACAGAACGAGGCTTTAACGGCAAGGGAGGGGAGCGACCAAGCAGGGGGTGGGTCTGGCCCCCTCCCAGAGTAAGAAGCATTTGCAATTTTAGAACCAAATTAGACGCATTTTCAGACACTTCCTGGAGTAATATGACGTAAAATTGCTTTCTCCTACCCCTTCCAAGAGTAGGGATCTTTTGCAATTTGAGAACCACATTTGGCGCATTAATGTCCACCGGCACTTCATGGAAAAAAGAGGCCCTCTGATTGGTTAGAAGTTAGAGAAAAGTGATCTGTCACGTCGTGAGACGTCGTATAAATCATGCTTTGATGCCGCACAATGCACAAAAACGGTGGTCCGGTACTTCACCAGTAGTACTTGCAAAAATTATCTCGAGTGTAGAAACTGTGTCGTTATCAGGGGCGTCGCTAGATCTTTTTCAGTGGGGGAGGGGAGGGGGTGTAGAGGCCGCCGATTACCGACAAAACGCGAAAGCTTTGACACTTAATTAAATGATTAGAGAAAGAAGACGATCCGTTGTACTGTTCTCGACTCTCGAAGCTTGTTTCGCCCCTCCCGCGCAAAGCGCGGAAGCTATGACGTTTAATTTAATTATTAGAGAGAGAAGACGATTCATTGTACCGGTCCCGACTCTTCACCCTTGTCTGAATTAAGTCCCCCCCCCCCTCCCGCGCTAAGCGCGGAAGCTTTGACGTTTCAATACATTATTACTCTTAATCCTCGTCTGAATTCATTTCGCTCATCCCGCGCAAAGCGCTGAAGCTTTCACGTTTCATTAAATTATTAGAGAAAGAAGACGGTTCGTTGTATCGTGTTCTTGTCTGAATTCAGTTTTCCCCCTCCCGCGCGAAGCGCGGAAGCCTTGACCAGGGGCGGCGATTTTTGTTAATGACCGGGGGGGACGAAATGCGAATTTTTTTCGAGGATGTTATGCGAGGGAGCGTAGCGACCGATCGAGATTTTTTTTGCAATTTTATTAGTCTAAACGCTGCACGCTTGGGCTTCCAGAGCCTAAAAGTGTGTTGCAGTCATTATTCAGTATATGCTATACAATTTTTTTTGCACTTTTTCAAATTTCCAGGGGGGACGATCCCCCCCTAAAAAAATTGAGGGGGGGGACGTGTCCCCCCGTCCCCCCGGGATCGCCGCCCCTGGCCTTGACACTTCATTAAACTATTAGAGAAAGAAGACGATCCGTTGTACCGTTCTCGATTCTTAATTCTTGTTTCGCCCCTCCCGCGCGAAGCACGGAAGCTATGACGTTTCATTTAATTATTAGAGAAAGAAGACGATTCATTGTACCGGTCTCGACTCTTAACCCTTGTCTGAATTCACGTTCGCCCATCCCGCGCGAAACGCGGAAGTTTTCAAGTTTCATTAAATTATTAGAGAAAGAAGACGACTCATTCATTTTCATTGTCCCGTTGAACCGTTCTCGACTCGCTTTGACGTTTCAATAAATTAAATATTATTAATCCTTGTCTGAATTCATTTTCGCCCATCCCGCGCGAAACGCGGAAGCTTTCAAGTTTCATTAAATTATTAGAGAAAGAAGACGAATCGTTTTATTGTGTCTTTGACTGAATTCAGTTCCCTCCTTCCACGCGAAGCGCGGAAGCTTTCACGTTTCATTAAATTTATAGAGAAAGAAGACGGTTCATTCATTTTCATTGTACCGTTGAACAGTTCTCGACTCTTTATCCTTGTCTGAATTCCGTCCCCCCTCCCCCCCTTTCGCGCAAAGCGCGTAAGCTTTGACGTTTCAATAAATTAATAATGGTGGTGTGACCAAAGTTCGCGCGTGACCTAAGTTCGCTATCTCAAAAAATCAGTAAGATTACGAAAATCTGATATCACCAATGGAAAGAGGAACATGAAATTACCCAGAAGTGAAATTTTCTTTGGAATTGGGTACGAAATTGTGAAAATATCGACAAAAGATCGGCAAATTTTGCAATATTTTGCGTCCGTTCCGAAAAATGATCAACTTACCGATAAGGGTCTGAAAATCTTCAATTTGAGAGCAGATTTCCTCAAAATTGTAAGTAAAGAGTGGTACTAACTGATTGTATGATATCTTGCCTTGCAAATTATGATATTACCTTATTTTTGATGGATCACACTTTTTGATAAATCAACTGTAAACCCCCGTGCGTGAAGTTAGGTCTCGTTGTTTTTATGACTTTTTTAGATGCAGCCCGCACGAACGATCGGACATCAAATTTTTAGATCGCGATATCTCCGAAATCCTTCGACGATAAAATGTTTCAGTTGAACTAATCTGTAGTTAAAAACTTCGCCGTCCCTTTGGTTATAATTGAAATCAATAAATTTGTGTAGAATATGAGAAATCGTGGTTCGAATATCACATTTTGTAATGTTCTAAAATGTCCGCGAACTTTGGTCACCCCTTCATACTATTAGTCCTTTTCTGAATTAATTTTCGCCCATCCCGCGCGAAACCGTTCGGAAGCTTTCAAGTTTCATTAAATTATTAGAGAAAGAAGACGAATCGTTTTATTGTGCCTTTGTCTGAATTCAGTTCCCCCCTCCCACGCGAAGCGCGGAAGCTTTGTCGTTTCATTTAATTATTACTCTTAATCCTTGTCTGAAATCATTTTCGCGTTTCATTAATTATTAGAGAAAGATTATTATAAAGACGATTCGTTGTACCGTTCTCGACTCTTAATCCTAGTCTGAAATTAGTTTCCCCCCCCCCCCCCCCCCCCCCCCCCCTCCCGCGCGAAGCGCGGAAGCTTTGCCGTTTCATTAAATTATTAGAGAAAGAAGACGATTCGTTGTACTGTTCTCTATAGAGAGTATACTCTTAATCTTGTCTGAATTCAATTCCCCCCACTGGGCCCCTTAACGTTATATGTGCAGTGTTACACGATGTAAGTATGGAACGCTCGTTCGTAAATCTGTGAATGCTCAGCCCGAGTGGTGGGTAGCATGTTATCTCCCGACAGTGCTTTGTACAGTAGCTTCTGGAAAGGAATTAGTGTTACTGTTAGTGGCCACTATAAGGCCCTTAGTGACTATAAAAAACATATGCTCTTCCTGGCTATTTGGGAATGGGTCAGTTTGCAAGAAATAATGGAGAAACTATAGCATTTTGTTGAAAATAATGTGATATCACGAACATTTAAACATTACTTGTGAAAATAAGTCATGGTACAATTTTATTTGCCCCCCCCCCCCACCAGTACGCCAGTGGTGACAAGACCATATATATTATAAGGAAACCACCTCAGCCCCCCCCCCCCGAAAATAAATATTAAGGTCCGCTGCCTGAATGTCCGAGTCGTCATCATAAAGGCGAAGGCGGCGGGTGTGGGGTGGGGGGGGGGGGGGGGAGGTGAGCTTGAGGATGTTTCATGATTCAAATGTTATTGATATAAATTCTCAATTATGTTTATAACATTGGATAACAATTTTCAAACCTACTTAAAAACAAGACAAATATTCAGGGCCATGTGTCGCCTTGGGGGTGTCCTCCGTCCAATATTTCCATTTGTTATGAGCATTTTGGATATTGCTTAGGCCTATTTCATTTTATGAATAAAAACCCTCATCCCGTATTATGAATAGCGACCCTCTACTCCTATTATGAATAGCGAACCTCATTTCATATTATGAATAGTGACCCTATTGTGAATAGCGACCCTCATTTCATATTATGAATAGCAACCCTCTACTCCTATTATGAATAGCTCTTCTCCTATTATGAATAGTGACCCTATTATGAATAGCGACCCTCATTTCGTATTATGAATAGCAACCCTCTACTCCTATTATGAATAGCTCTTCTCCTATTATGAATAGCGACCCTCTTCTCCTATTATGAATAGCGACCCTCTTCTATTATGAATAGCGAACCTCATTTCGTATTATGAATAGCGACCCTCTTCTCCTATTATGAATAGCGACCCTCTTCTCCTATTATGAAAAGCGAACCTCATTTCGTATTATGAATAGCGACCCTCTTCTCCTATTATGAATAGCGAACCTCATTTCGTATTATGAATAGCGACCCTCTTCTCCTATTATGAATAGCGAACCTCATTTCGTATTATGAATAGCGACCCTCTTCTCCTATTATGAATAGCGACCCTCTTCTCCTATTATGGATGGAGAACCTCATTTCGTATTATGAATAGCGACCCTCTTCTCCTATTATGAATAGCGAACCTCATTTCGTATTATGAATAGCGACCCTCTTCTCCTATTATGAATAGCGAACCTCATTTCGTATTATGAATAGCGACCCTCTTCTCCTATTATGAATAGCGACCCTCTTCTCCTATTATGGATGGAGAACCTCATTTCGTATTATGAATAGCGACCCTCTTCTCCTATTATGAATAGCGACCCTTATGAATAACGACCCCGATTTTGCATTATGAATAGCGACCCTCTTCTCCTATTATGAATACCGACCCTCTTATCTGATTATGAATAGCGGTCCTTATGAATAATGAACCTTATGAATAATGACCCTTTTCTCCAATTATGAAAAGCGGTCCTTATGAATAGCGGTCCTTATGAATAACGGACCTTATGAATAGCTGACCTTATGAATAGCGGACCTTACGAATAGCGACATTGACCCTTTTGATCCAGAATTATTTAACTTTCTAAATAAGCAATGGAGAGTAAAATGTATAGACTAATCAATATTTTTGTGTTACAAAGTTACAAATTGGCAATTTTTTGTTGATTTTTCGTAGCATTTGTTCACGATTTCATTTGACATTCATTTTTACTTTTTTACTCTCTAGGCTAGATCTAGATCTAGTCTAGATTCTAGAGTGCATGGAGATACAAATAATTGGTGCCAATTTAAGATGAAAAGCTGATTCAATTAGAACTTTAGAAAACTCTTGACTGCATGCTATGGGTGAAAAAAATGTTTACTTTTCCCCCGGTGGGGTCACTCAATGTGACTTCCGGACCGCCGGGACTTTTCCTAGACATTGACGAATGCGTGGTGGATACAACACTCTGTGCAAATGGAATGTGTTCGAACACACCGCCTGGCTCTTACACCTGTAGCTCGTGTGACTCTGGATATGAATTAAACGATGATAGCACTGCTTGCAATGGTAAGGACGTGAAGTCAAATTAGATCTAGTAGTCTACTCAGTACTATAGTGTCACATTTTACTTTTTAGTGGCATCTTTAACAGTCTTTTGATCCAGAATGCTTTGAATTACAAGTTGTAGGTTTACATGATCTTAGTCCAAAAGTCAGTAGGAAATTTCAATCCACTTCTAACTTCAAGTACACTCTGCCTGTCTGCCATTAATGAAAACTATTAAACCTAAAATGGACATTTAACTTTCTTAATTAGCAATGGAGAGTAAAATGTATAGACTAATCAATATTTTTTTTTTACAAATTGGCAATTTCTTGTTGATTTTTCGTAGCACTTGTTCACGATTTCGTTTGACATTCATTTTTACTTTTTTACTACTAGATCTAGAGTAAAGGAGCCCGTTTTCGGCCACTTAAGACAAAATCCTATTTTTAGGACTCTTTACTTCCTATTTATTATCATTTCTTGTTCAAATCATGAAGCAAATATTATTATTATTTAAACAAAAAAAGAATCCCAGAAAAAAATCACGAATTGCCATGACAATATTCATTTCAATTTTCACTGTTTTGGAGCCCGTTATCGGCCGAGCGTTTCAGTTTACGGCCGCATGTACAAAGTCAATAGGAAGCGCTCGCGCGCGCCGTGCGTTTCCGCGCTGATGTACAGCACAAGCGGGCGGAGCAGGTATCCCACGCCGGAACTCCCTGATGCTCGCCTGGCCGAAGACAGGCACAGCGGTGATCGGAAGTTGGAATCTGAATTAGACAGAGATATCGTGTGTGCGTCGCGGTGTGCGGCTGCATTGATTTAATACATGCGATGACATACTTTTGAGCTTGCGACTAGCACAAAATCGGGCTCTAAATCTGAAAAATACTCGAAATACAGCTCATTTTATGGTACCCATATTTCTTACAGACACGCGTAAGATACTCGATTTTTCAGATTTGGGTAGCGGGACCGGCGATTACATCGCTAAAATGTGATATTTTAGGATATATTTTCCATTGCAAATGTGGTTCTTCAGTGACACTGGCATGGTATGGTATGTGTGGGATATGTGTTATGCTATTATGCGATGTATTTTAGAGTGATTTTACCTTGCATCCAACCAATCGGCCGAAAACAGGAGCTGGCCGATTACGGGCTCTAGATCTAGACTCTAGATCTAGGTCTAGACCCTAGTCTAGATTCTAGAGTGCATGCATGGAGATACCAATAATTGGTGCCAATTTAAGATGAAAAGCTGATTCAATTAGAACTTTAGAAAATTATTGACTGCATGCTATATGGGTGAAAAAAAATGTTTACTTTTCCTAGACATTGACGAATGCGTGGTGGATACAACACTCTGTGCAAATGGAATGTGTTCGAACACACCGCCTGGCTCTTACACCTGTAGCTCGTGTGACTCTGGATATGCATTAAACGATGATAGCACTGCTTGTGATGGTAAGGATGTGAAGTCAAATTAGATCTAGTACCATAGTCTATTCAGTACTAGTAGTGTCACATTTTACTTTTTAGTGGCATCTTTAACAGTCTTTTGATCCAGAATTATTTAACTTTCTAAATTAGCAATGGAGAGTAAAATGTATAGACTAATCAATATTTTTGTGTACAAATTGGCAATTTCTTGTTGATTTTTCGTAGCATTTGTTCACGATTTCATTTGACATTCATTTTTACTTTTTTACTCTCTAGATCTAGATCTAGTCTAGATTCTAGAGTGCATGGAGATACAAATAATTGGTGCCAATTTAAGATGAAAAGCTGATTCAATTAGAACTTTAGAAAACTCTTGACTGCATGCTATGGGTGAAAAAATGTTTACTTTTCCTAGACATTGACGAATGCGTGGTGGATACAACACTCTGTGCAAATGGAATGTGTTCGAACACACCGCCTGGCTCTTACACCTGTAGCTCGTGTGACTCTGGATATGAATTAAACGATGATAGCACTGCTTGCAATGGTAAGGACGTGAAGTCAAATTAGATCTAGTAGTCTACTCAGTACTATAGTGTCACATTTTACTTTTTAGTGGCATCTTTAACAGTCTTTTGATCCAGAATGCTCTGAATTACAAGTTGTAAGTCTACATGATCTTAGTCCAAAAGTCAGTAGGAAATTTCAATCCACTTCTGTTCAAGTACACTCTGCCATTAATGAAAACTATTAAACCTGAAATGGACATTTGACTTTCTAAATTAGCAATGGAGAGTAAAATGTATAGACTAATCATTATTTTTTTTACAAATTGGCAATTTCTTGTTGATTTTTCTTAGCATTTGTTCACGATTTCGTTTGACATTCATTTTTACTTTTTTACTCTCTAGATCTAGATCTAGTCTAGATTCTAGAGTGCATTGAGATACAAATAATTGGTGCCAATTTAAAATGAAAAGATAATTCAATTAGAACTTTAGAAAACTCTTGACTGCATGCTATGGGTGAAAAAAATGTTTACTTTTCCTAGACATTGACGAATGCGTGGTGGATACAACACTCTGTGCAAATGGAATGTGTTCGAACACACCGCCTGGCTCTTACACCTGTAGCTCGTGTGACTCTGGATATGAATTAAACGATGATAGCACTGCTTGCAATGGTAAGGACGTGAAGTCAAATTAGATCTAGTAGTCTACTCATGCATGTCACATTTTACTTTTTAGTGGCATCTTTAACAGTCTTTTGATCCAGAATGCTTTGAATTACAAGTTGTAGGTTTACATGATCTTAGTCCAAAAGTCAGTAGGAAATTTCAATCCACTTCTAACTTCAAGTACACTCTGTCATGATGTTCGATTAGACATGATATTGATATCGATGTAAACAATGTGATCGAGAGATAATGTAATGCATTGCATGTTGCAAGGTCAAGAGGTCAAATACGGCATGTTACATGTTCGTAAAGCCGGAGCGGAAAGGATACAATAAAGACTATGAGACTCGTAATACTTGTGTTGAATTCCATTTATTCTATATCCTGGTTAGGATATGACATTGGCGACGAGGATGAAAGTCATATAGGACAATTGTAGATCTGTTTGAGAAGGAAAATGGCGTTTGGAGGCGCAGATATCAAGGGACTTTGTCAGTTTGATCCGACCGGAGACGGCAGTGTTGTGAGTGAAAGATGGCAGCGCTGGTATGAGGAGTTTGATGCGTACGCAGATAGCCTCGGTGTGTTTGTCGACGGGGCAGAGCCGGCGCAGTTGACTCGACGTAGAGCCTTGATGATGTACTCGGCTGGAGCGGCTGTGCGGGAAGTTTTCAAGACCCTTGAGGATACTGGCACCAAGGCAGATTATGACAAGGCTGTGAACGCTTTGGAGAAGCATTTTGTTGTGCAGTCAAATTCTACCTTTCAACGTCATGTTTTCAGACAGATTACTCAGCAGGCGGATGAGACTGTGTCGCAGATGGTGACACGGCTTAAGAAGGCAGCAGAAGGCTGTGCTTTCAGAGATGATTTGGAGAACCAGATTCGTGATCAGGTCGTTCAAGGGTTGCGGTCATCTAGACTGCGAAGGAAACTTTTGGAAAAGGGTACTGCACTCACCCTAACTGCAACCTTGGCGATAGCAGCGTCACTTGAGGCCGTGGAGGCCATGGATTCTCAATTCAGAATACTGTCATCGGTGGACGAGTTTCCTAACCCTAGTTCCCAGATCCGTCAGGTCAGTAATGAAACCCGTGAATGCTTTAATTGTGGGAGAACTGGGCACAGTTATAAGGACTCGACATGTCCAGCCAAGGGACGGATATGCCACACATGTGGGAAAAAGGGACACTTCGCCACAAAGTGCAGAGATGGTTCAGGGAAGAAGGAGCAGACAAGTGGACCAAACGTTAAACCTAGAGGAAAATGGGGACAGAAAAGGCAAGGTCACAAAGTGCGACAAGTGGATGAATGCACATGTCACTGTCAGAATAAGCAAGGTGATGAACAGAATCATAGTGATGATAGTGAGAGAGGATATATGCATTCGCTATTGATACTGACAAGTGTGAAAAGGTGCCTGTTGTGATTGGAGGAGTACCAGTTGATATCATAGTAGATTCTGGAACCACTGCGAATATCATTGACAGAGCATTATGGGAGTTCCTGAAGACAGAGAAAATTACATGCTCATCCCGAAGGTGTAACAAAAAGATCTATCCGTATACTTCTGTAGAGCCACTCCAGACCATTGGATGTTTTAAAGCTGTGGTCACGGCAGGTGAGAGAAGTGTAGAAGCTGAATTTGTTGTCATTGCAGAGAAAGGCGAACCACTGATGAGTAGAAAAACGGCATTAGCCCTTGGTGTGCTACGGATCGGGATAGATGTGAACTCTGTGAAATCATATGTAGATATGAGAGAAGAATTCAAGCCAGTATTCCAAGGCGTTGGAAAACTGCGTGATCGACAAATCAAGCTGAAAGTTGATCCCGAGATTAGACCTGTAGCCCAGCCAGTTCGAAGAACACCATTCGGTTTGAGAGACAGAGTGAAGGAGAAGATCCAGGAACTAGTCGAGCAAGACATTATAGAGCCTGTGGAAGAACCTACACCGTGGGTTAGTCCTGTAGTCATAGTACCCAAGCCTAATGGAGATATCCGGATATGCAGTGACATGAGGCGGGTCAATGAAGCCATTGTGAGGGAGAGACATCCGATACCGACAGTGGATGAAATACTCCAAGAGTTGTCAACAAGCAAGGTGTTCTCAAAAATTGATCTAAAATGGGGATATCATCAGTTGGAGTTAGATCCTGAATCCCGAAAGTTGACCACGTTTGTAACACATTGCGGACTATACCGTTACAAGAGATTGTTATTCGGTGTGAATGCAGCACCTGAGATCTATCAGCACGAGATCCACAAAGTGCTTCAAGGACTACCTGGTGTTGCAAACATTTCTGATGACATCATCATTCATGGTGCCACGCAGGAAGAGCATGATGAGAGGCTTCGACAGACCTTGACACGATTGAAAGACGCAGGATTAACGGCCAATGCAGAAAAGTGCCTGTTTGGTGTGTCCGAGTTAGTATTCAGGGGACACAAGTTGACCAAGGACGGCATCAATCCCACCAAGGCCAAGATTGAGGCTGTAGCAAACGCATGTGAGCCAATACGGAGTACGCTCTTACCAGCTGGTCCATGGGAGGATGTCGCAGTAGATTTTTTGGGACCACTACCATCTGGTGAATCAATTCTAGTGATCATTGACTATTACAGTAGATATTACGAATATATTGTGATGCGATCTACAACAGCAGAGAAGACAGTGGCAGCTCTAGCAGGGATCTTCGCAAGACATGGTTTGCCACTAACCCTGTATTCTGACAATGGGCCTCAATTTATCTCGCAAGTCTTTGCAGACTATATGAGGCTGACAGGTGTACACCACCATAGGGTTACACCCAAGTGGCCTCAGGCAAATGGTGAGGTTGAGCGACAGAACCAATCCCTCGAGAAGAGAATGAGAATTGCTCATTCAGAAGGCAAAGACTGGAAGGAGGCGCTTCTGTCATATGTTGCAGCATACAGGGCTACACCACATAGCACAACAGGTAAAAGCCCAGCTGAGCTACTCTTCGGACGGAAGATCAGGACAAAGTTACCTATTATCAGTGAATCTCTAAATGACCAAGAGATCAGAGACCAGGACGCTGAGAGCAAAGGTGCATCGAAACTGTATGCAGACTCTAAGAGGGGTGCCAAACCGTCTGATGTGGTGCCAGGAGATGAAGTTCTGGTGAGGAGGGAAGTGTCTAGCAAAATGGACACACCATTTCTACCACAACCATACACAGTTGTATCCAGAGAGGGCAACAAGCTGAACATTTGCTCACCAGAAGGTGTGATGTATGCTAGGAACACATCACATGTGAAGAAGTATCATCGACAGGAATACTGCAGCCGGAAGCTGAGACTACAGAGGCCCAGGTTCCACTCTACCATGGTGTTGGTGCTGAATTGATAACACCGCAGTCTGATGTCGAGACTACTAGTGATCAGAGCCAACATGAGGGGACTGAGCGTCAGATGGGAGTTCCGAAGACCGTACCATCACCGACCCAGACACCAATTTGGAGCAGACCAAAACGCCATCGTTTGAGGCCCAAGCGATTTTCTGATTATTTGTTGATTGATTGATTGATTTTTATTCGACAAGCTTCCAACATACAACAATATACAATAATAACAGATCAAAAAAGTCAGCTTGAACAGGATAACCCACGAAAGCTCGAGAGCTTATTTCCAGTGGGGTCCCTTACAGACATGTATAAAATTAATAAGTTAAAATAGTAATATTTACAGACAGATAAGAAAATTAAAAGAACTACTTATTAAAGATAATAATAATAACAACATTAAACTGATGATAGAAATGATATTAAGTACAAGAAGAAAAAGAAGAAGGAGAAGAAGAAAAAGAGGAGAATGAAGAAGAGGAAAATAATGATGAATTTGTAGAAATTCTATAACGTACGAAAACATAAGTATATACAACATGAAAAAGTATGAACCGACAGAAGAATAAAAATTTCAATCATATAACATGTCATTCACTTCTCTTCTCTGACTGTCAAGTATTAGGTATTCCTTTAATTTCCTCTTAAAATGATCATAGTTTCCTATTTCTTTTACACCATTGGGAAGGGAATTCCAATGTTTTATGGCATTGTAATAAAACGAATTTCCAATACTACCTACTCTTTCAGGTAAGTTAAAGTTGAATCGTCTATTTCTTGTATTATAATCATGTACGTCAGTAACAAGATCGAAGTTGGATCGAATATAATGATTCGACCTAGTATGGTATATTTTATGCACATGATGCAATACGAGTTGTTTTGATCTTTGGTCGACTTCAAGAAAACCAGCTTTAGAAAGTTCGCTGTAGCCAACATGAGTTCTTGGACCAGAACAGTTGATAAATCTCACCATTTTGTTCTGTATAATCTTCAACTTCTTTTGATCTGACTTGTTTATGTTACTATACCATGCAGGGTTAGCATAGTCAAATAAACATTGAATAAGAGCAAAACAGAGTGTACGTCTTGCTTTTAAATCCATACAACTTTGATATCTGTACAAAAATTTCAGACGAGAATTTGCTTTTTTTACAACTGATTCTACTAAAGATGAAAATGAAATTGCGCTAGCCAACTCAATGCCTAAATACTTCACAGACTCTTTTCTCTTGATTGCTTGATTATTGTGTGTCACTTTGAATTCAAATGACTTTTTAGAACTACTTTTAGAACAAAATAAAATGCTTTCTGTTTTTCCCAAGTGTTTTCCGGTGTTGGAATGAAGATTCGGTGGAAACAGCCATCTAGTATTGTGACGCGAAGTGTTCAACCAGTAAAAGTGACACAACAAAGTTTTTCAGTAATTTGAATGTTTGAGTGTTAAAATGTTTCACAAAGAGTTCAAGTGCTATTTTAGCAAGTACATAGGGTGTATGCCTGTACGCTGCCCTATATTTAACGGAATGTTCACTATATAAGGGTGTATGCCTGTATGTACGCTGCCCTATATTCAATGAAAAGTTTAGTAACCGGGTGTATGCTTGTACGCTGCCCTGAGTTAAAGTGATTAATTAGTGAAATTTAAACCCAAAAAAAATGAGAGAAGAAAAGGGTGCAAGCTAGTGCCAAGAGAAACGTGGGGATTCATCTCAAAGCAAACTCTCAAGTTGTTAGCTGACTTTGAAGCTCAAGTGAAAGACTAGCAGCTGAAGAAAGGACATTATAAGATTAATTATAATGAGAACTCTAAAATGTCTCATGACAGATCTGATCAACATCCAACCCAGTCAGAGATGAATATTGAGAACTCTAATGCATGCGTCTTATGAAAGACTCATATGAAAGACTCATAAACAAACAGAGACTTTATAGTTAAAGCAGTTTGATATGTCAGTCAAGTAGTTAAATGAAGTGAGTTGATCATACACTGCATATATTGTAATGTCAAGTTGTTTGAATATTCATTTCATGATGTGTATGATGAGAAATGTATAAGTTCTGAATTGGGAGTTCATTGTTTTAAAAACAAAAAACAATGTGTGTTTGGTTGAAGTTCAAGTTCAATAGTTCGAAGTCAAGTAATACACGAGTCGTTATTAGTATGAAAACAAACAAACGATATTTGGATATCGATGTGGTCAATGGAAAAGTCACATACATGTATTTTATTGATACAAACAGTTCAAAACTTATTGCATGCTAAAACAAGTTTTGAAATCAGGGTTCATGATTATTCATTGAAGTAAAATGGAAAAGATATCTTTTAATCTGATAAGGGAGGGATGTCATGATGTTCGATTAGACATGATATTGATATCGATGTAAACAATGTGATCGAGAGATAATGTAATGCGTTGCATGTTGCAAGGTCAAGAGGTCAAATACGGCATGTTACATGTTCGTAAAGCCGGAGCGGAAAGGATACAATAAAGACTAGATCTATGAGACTCGTAATACTTGTGTTGAATTCCATTTATTCTATATCCTGGTTAGGATATGACACACTCTGCCATTAATGAAAACTATTAAACCTGAAATGGACATTTAACTTTCTTAATTAGCAATGGAGAGTAAAATGTATAGACTAGACTAGATCTAATCAATATTTTTTTTTTACAAATTGGCAATTTCTTGTTGATTTTTCGTAGCACTTGTTCATGATTTCGTTTGACATTCATTTTTACTTTTTTACTAGATCTAGAGGTCTATCTAGACTCTAGATCTAGATCTAGTCTAGATTCTAGAGTGCATGCATGGAGATACCAATAATTGGTGCCAATTTAAGATGAAAAGCTGATTCAATTAGAACTTTAGAAAATTATTGACTGCATGCTATATGGGTGAAAAAAAATGTTTACTTTTCCTAGACATTGACGAATGCGTGGTGGATACAACACTCTGTGCAAATGGAATGTGTTCGAACACACCGCCTGGCTCTTACACCTGTAGCTCGTGTGACTCTGGATATGCATTAAACGATGATAGCACTGCTTGTGATGGTAAGGATGTGAAGTCAAATTAGATCTAGTAGTGAGTAGTACCATAGTCTATTCAGTACTAGTAGTGTCACATTTTACTTTTTAGTGGCATCTTTAACAGTCTTTTGATCCAGAATTATTTAACTTTCTAAATTAGCAATGGAGAGTAAAATGTATAGACTAATCAATATTTTTGTGTACAAATTGGCAATTTCTTGTTGATTTTTCGTAGCATTTGTTCACGATTTCATTTGACATTCATTTTTACTTTTTTACTCTCTAGATCTAGATCTAGTCTAGATTCTAGAGTGCATGGAGATACAAATAATTGGTGCCAATTTAAGATGAAAAGCTGATTCAATTAGAACTTTAGAAAACTCTTGACTGCATGCTATGGGTGAAAAAAATGTTTACTTTTCCTAGACATTGACGAATGCGTGGTGGATACAACACTCTGTGCAAATGGAATGTGTTCGAACACACCGCCTGGCTCTTACACCTGTAGCTCGTGTGACTCTGGATATGAATTAAACGATGATAGTACTGCTTGCAATGGTAAGGACGTGAAGTCAAATTAGATCTAGTAGTCTACTCAGTACTATAGTGTCACATTTTACTTTTTAGTGGCATCTTTAACAGTCTTTTGATCCAGAATGCTCTGAATTACAAGTTGTAAGTCTACATGATCTTAGTCCAAAAGTCAGTAGGAAATTTCAATCCACTTCTGTTCAAGTACACTCTGCCATTAATGAAAACTATTAAACCTGAAATGGACATTTAACTTTCTAAATTAGCAATGGAGAGTAAAATGTATAGACTAATCATTATTTTTTTAACAAATTGGCAATATCTTGTTGATTTTTCTTAGCATTTGTTCACGATTTCGTTTGACATTCATTTTTACTTTTTTACTATCTAGATCTAGATCTAGATCTAGTCTAGATTCTAGAGTGCATGGAGATACAAATAATTGGTGCCAATTTAAGATGAAAAGCTGATTCAATTAGAACTTTAGAAAATTCTTGACTGCATGCTACAGTATATGGGTGAAAAAAATGTTTACTTTTCCTAGACATTGACGAATGCGTGGTGGATACAACACTCTGTGCAAATGGAATGTGTTCGAACACACCGCCTGGCTCTTACACCTGTAGCTCGTGTGACTCTGGATATGCATTAAACGATGATAGCACTGCTTGTGATGGTAAGGATGTGAAGTCAAATTAGATCTAGTACCATAGTCTATTCAGTACTAGTAGTGTCACATTTTACTTTTTAGTGGCATCTTTAACAGTCTTTTGATCCAGAATTATTTAACTTTCTAAATTAGCAATGGAGAGTAAAATGTATAGACTAATTAATATTTTTGTGTACAAATTGGCAATTTCTTGTTGATTTTTCGTAGCATTTGTTCACGATTTCATTTGACATTCATTTTTACTTTTTTACTCTCTAGATCTAGATCTACTCTAGATTCTAGAGTGCATGGAGATACAAATAATTGGTGCCAATTTAAGATGAAAAGCTGATTCAATTAGAACTTTAGAAAACTCTTGACTGCATGCTATGCCTATGGGTGAAAAAAATGTTTACTTTTCCTAGACATTGACGAATGCGTGGTGGATACAACACTCTGTGCAAATGGAATGTGTTCGAACACACCGCCTGGCTCTTACACCTGTAGCTCGTGTGACTCTGGATATGAATTAAACGATGATAGCACTGCTTGCAATGGTAAGGACGTGAAGTCAAATTAGATCTAGTAGTCTACTCAGTACTATAGTGTCACATTTTACTTTTTAGTGGCATCTTTAACAGTCTTTTGATCCAGAATGCTCTGAATTACAAGTTGTAAGTCTACATGATCTTAGTCCAAAAGTCAGTAGGAAATTTCAATCCACTTCTGTTCAAGTACACTCTGCCATTAATGAAAACTATTAAACCTGAAATGGACATTTAACTTTCTAAATTAGCAATGGAGAGTAAAATGTATAGACTAATCATTATTTTTTTTACAAATTGGCAATTTCTTGTTGATTTTTCTTAGCATTTGTTCACGATTTCGTTTGACATTCATTTTTACTTTTTTACTCTCTAGATCTAGATCTAGTCTAGATTCTAGAGTGCATTGAGATACAAATAATTGGTGCCAATTTAAAATGAAAAGATAATTCAATTAGAACTTTAGAAAACTCTTGACTGCATGCTATGGGTGAAAAAAATGTTTACTTTTCCTAGACATTGACGAATGCGTGGTGGATACAACACTCTGTGCAAATGGAATGTGTTCGAACACAGGTGGCTCTTACACCTGTAGCCCATGTGACTCTGGATATGCATTAAACGATGATAGCACTGCTTGCAATGGTAAGGACGTGAAGTCAAATTAGATCTAGTAGTCTACTCATGCATGTCACATTTTACTTTTTAGTGGCATCTTTAACAGTCTTTTGATCCAGAATGCTCTGAATTACAAGTTGTAGGTCTACATGATCTCAGTCCAAAAGTCAGTAGGAAATTGAAATCCACTTCTGTTAAAGTACACTCTGCCATTAATGAAAATTATTAAATCTGAAATGGACATTTAACTTTCTAAATTAACAATGGAGATTAAAATGCATAGACTAATCACTATTTTTGTTTACAAATTGGTAATTGACTTGGATGCTGGTGTGAGGAAATAAGACTCTGTGGAGGGAAATTGAAAATTTATATTAGCAATATAAAGAAAGCAAAAAGTGTATAGTGAGGCAATGAAAACAGAGACTCATGAGTGAGCTGCTACTTGCCCTGTGATTTAAAAAGTTTGTCATGTCATTACAGATTTTTTTTTTTTTTTTTTTTTTTATTTACCCAGGGTAACCCCATCAGTGAGTAAAACACTGTTATACTCGGGGGCCCTGCAATAGTACAACACAAATTACAAACATGTAAATGAATACAGAACAACAAATATTACTAAGACATCAGACCTGCACGAAATATTAAACTTTTAAGAAAAAAAAGAAAAAAAAAAAAACCTATAAGGCTCCCACAATGCCTCCGCTTGCCGGAACCAACTGGACCGCAGGGTCCGAGGCACTACCTCCAAACACTACTCTCCCTCGCCACCCCATAATGAATTTTTATTTTTTTGTTTGTTTGTTGATGTGTTTGTGTTCATACCAAACCATCTACTGATTTCTAATTCTCCAATATGAAGTAGCAAAGGACTGCCTAGAAACAGCGCCCCGAATACCACTATCCAGCCGATTCCAGCTAGAGAACGGAAGCACAATGGGAAAAGGCTCTTTTACCAGCCTGTGTGCGGACAAGTGGCACCACAACACCATTGTGCACTGCATTTCTTGTCCGGTGTGAATGTATACTTTCTGAACGTACAAAAAGTTCAATGAGGTAAACTGGTGCTTCCCCGCGGAGTACACTGTGCACTGTTGTGCATTTATGGAATTGCCACCTTTCTTCAATTGAAACCCATTTTAATTTGTTATATGCCTGTTCAATGGGAGTAGAATAATTGACTTTTAAGATCAACCGGGCCATTTTCTTGTGTTGTCTTATCAAACCGTCTTTCAAATATTGTGCACATGTGGACCATGAATTGCTACAGTAGTCAAAGTAAGGTAATATAAGTGAGTTAGCTAAGACTTTAGAGCTGCATGTCAACAGTGAGGTATTTTCGGAGTCTACCAAAGAGTGCAAGTCGGGAACCAATCTTTTTCATTGTTTCTTCAATATGTTTTTGCCAAGTTAATGTCTCATCCATCCAAACCCCAAGATATTTATAGGTGTTAACTAGATTCATAACCTTTGATTAGTTATCCGATTTTGATCAAAATTTTTTTCTGATTTTTCTGCTTATATTAAGGTAAGTTATTTTATTAGTGGACTTGCCCTTTGATGGAGCTTTGTGTAATGCAGGTATCAAAATCTATTGAAATATTACGTTAAAGAGGGTGTAGATTGGCAATATACTGGTTAACGGCATCTACGTCTTCTTTTGGACAACTGCGCTTAAACGAACGGACTTGATTAACAGTTCTCTACATCAGGCGCGTACGCATGGGGGGGGCTGTTTTGGGGGTTTAAGCCTCCCTCCCCCCCCCCCCTCGATTTTTATTTATTTAAAATCTGTTTTAGTGCAAGGGTGGAGGGGTTGTGCGGATTTTTTTTTAAATGAATGCTTCTTTACCCCCTTCCCCCCATCACCCAACTGAGCGAAATTTCGATCGACGCGATTTTCCCATTTCCGGGGGCAAAAAAAATTTAAAAATTATGGTTACCCCCCCCCCCCCCCCCCCCCCCCCCCCTGCGTTTTGTTTTGAGCTCAAATGCCTTATTTTGCGTAAACACCATCATAATTAATGCAAAGGTAATTATCAAATGATGGTTTCCAAATGCTTTTGAATCTTTTGGACCTTAAATATTTCAGTTACATACAAAGGGTTATTCATATAAAATACGGCACAGTCCATCTCTATGAAGCTTGGTACACTTATCGCCTCAAATAGTCCGAAACTGCTCAATTAATTTCAATGACCACAGTAAACCATGTTTACTTTGTTCTGAAATTATGTCCATATCTTTAAAAAACGGGACAGCGACTCGGTTTGAAACTTAGAACTAAATAGTATAAATTTGGTATAATGACATTGTAGTAATCGTAATTCATCACTACCACAGTTGTTATCAATACAGTTATCTTCATGATTATCACCAGCATCAACTTGTTCAGGTTTTTTTAAGTCGTTTTCATTGTCATGAAAAGAACTTAAAAACAGACCTTCTCATACTTGTTCACAATTATCATTGGCTCGTGACAGTCATCTGTGCCACGATCTCGGAATGCCAGACCGGAGAGATTTGTTCTTCGGGTACGTGCACCTGTCCAGATGGGTACAGTGGTTCAAGCTGTGACCAAGGTAAGATTTCCTCAAACCTCCTACCTTTCAACTCAGGCTTCACATCCCCATTCGATCACCAATGAAAAGACACAATATTATTTTAGTTGAATGGCTTTTATTAGTTGATTCCCAGCAAGGAACTGACGAACAAACTTTGCTCTAAGAATCGTTCTATCCAATATAACAAAAGTGTGAAACAAGCTACAGTGTCGATCAAAAAGGAGATGTTTAAAAACTGTAAGTCTTCATGCAATAACCCTGTTTTGGGGTCGGGGGGGGGGGCAGGGCCCAGATTACTATCGCTTGAATCACTCTATATTAGTGCATCCACACAAAAACATATGACTATCAAGTCTTGTTGATTTTTCGTAGCATTTGTTCACGATTTCATTTGACATTTATTTTTACTTTTTTAGTCTCTAGATCTAGATCTAGTCTAGATTCTAGAGTGCATGGAGAAACAAATAATTGGTGCCAATTTAAGATGAAAAGCTGATTCAATTAGAACTTTAGGAAACTCTTGACTGCATGCTATGGGTGAAAAAAATGTTTACTTTTCCTAGACATTGACGAATGCGTGGTGGATACAACACTCTGTGCAAATGGAATGTGTTCGAACACACCGCCTGGCTCTTACACCTGTAGCTCGTGTGACTCTGGATATGAATTAAACGATGATAGCACTGCTTGCAATGGTAAGGACGTGAAGTCAAATTAGATCTAGTAGTCTACTCAGTACTATAGTGTCACATTTTACTTTTTAGTGGCATCTTTAACAGTCTTTTGATCCAGAATGCTTTGAATTACAAGTTGTAGGTTTACATGATCTTAGTCCAAAAGTCAGTAGGAAATTTCAATCCACTTCTAACTTCAAGTACACTCTGCCATTAATGAAAACTATTAAACCTGAAATGGACATTTAACTTTCTTAATTAGCAATGGAGAGTAAAATGTATAGACTAATCAATATTTTTTTTTTACAAATTGGCAATTTCTTGTTGATTTTTCGTAGCACTTGTTCACGATTTCGTTTGACATTCATTTTTACTTTTTTACTAGATCTAGAGGTTTATCTAGACTCTAGATCTAGATCTAGTCTAGATTCTAGAGTGCATGCATGGAGATACCAATAATTGGTGCCAATTTAAGATGAAAAGCTGATTCAATTAGAACTTTAGAAAATTCTTGACTGCATGCTATATGGGTGAAAAAAAATGTTTACTTTTCCTAGACATTGACGAATGCGTGGTGGATACAACACTCTGTGCAAATGGAATGTGTTCGAACACACCGCCTGGCTCTTACACCTGTAGCTCGTGTGACTCTGGATATGCATTAAACGATGATAGCACTGCTTGTGATGGTAAGGATGTGAAGTCAAATTAGATCTAGTACCATAGTCTATTCAGTACTAGTAGTGTCACATTTTACTTTTTAGTGGCATCTTTAACAGTCTTTTGATCCAGAATTATTTAACTTTCTAAATTAGCAATGGAGAGTAAAATGTATAGACTAATCAATATTTTTGTGTACAAATTGGCAATTTCTTGTTGATTTTTCGTAGCATTTGTTCACGATTTCATTTGACATTCATTTTTACTTTTTTACTCTCTAGATCTAGATCTAGTCTAGATTCTAGAGTGCATGGAGATACAAATAATTGGTGCCAATTTAAGATGAAAAGCTGATTCAATTAGAACTTTAGAAAACTCTTGACTGCATGCTATGGGTGAAAAAAATGTTTACTTTTCCTAGACATTGACGAATGCGTGGTGGATACAACACTCTGTGCAAATGGAATGTGTTCGAACACACCGCCTGGCTCTTACACCTGTAGCTCGTGTGACTCTGGATATGAATTAAACGATGATAGCACTGCTTGCAATGGTAAGGACGTGAAGTCAAATTAGATCTAGTAGTCTACTCAGTACTATAGTGTCACATTTTACTTTTTAGTGGCATCTTCAACAGTCTTTTGATCCAGAATGCTCTGAATTACAAGTTGTAAGTCTACATGATCTTAGTCCAAAAGTCAGTAGGAAATTTCAATCCACTTCTGTTCAAGTACACTCTGCCATTAATGAAAACTATTAAACCTGAAATGGACATTTAACTTTCTAAATTAGCAATGGAGAGTAAAATGTATAGACTAATCATTATTTTTTTAACAAATTGGCAATATCTTGTTGATTTTTCTTAGCATTTGTTCACGATTTCGTTTGACATTCATTTTTACTTTTTTACTATCTAGATCTAGATCTAGATCTAGTCTAGATTCTAGAGTGCATGGAGATACAAATAATTGGTGCCAATTTAAGATGAAAAGCTGATTCAATTAGAACTTTAGAAAATTCTTGACTGCATGCTATATGGGTGAAAAAAAATGTTTACTTTTCCTAGACATTGACGAATGCGTGGTGGATACAACACTCTGTGCAAATGGAATGTGTTCGAACACACCGCCTGGCTCTTACACCTGTAGCTCGTGTGACTCTGGATATGAATTAAACGATGATAGCACTGCTTGTGATGGTAAGGATGTGAAGTCAAATTAGATCTAGTACCATAGTCTATTCAGTACTAGTAGTGTCACATTTTACTTTTTAGTGGCATCTTTAACAGTCTTTTGATCCAGAATTATTTAACTTTCTAAATTAGCAATGGAGAGTAAAATGTATAGACTAATCAATATTTTTGTGTACAAATTGGCAATTTCTTGTTGATTTTTCGTAGCATTTGTTCACGATTTCATTTGACATTCATTTTTACTTTTTTACTCTCTAGATCTAGATCTAGTCTAGATTCTAGAGTGCATGGAGATACAAATAATTGGTGCCAATTTAAGATGAAAAGCTGATTCAATTAGAACTTTAGAAAACTCTTGACTGCATGCTATGGGTGAAAAAAATGTTTACTTTTCCTAGACATTGACGAATGCGTGGTGGATACAACACTCTGTGCAAATGGAATGTGTTCGAACACACCGCCTGGCTCTTACACCTGTAGCTCGTGTGACTCTGGATATGAATTAAACGATGATAGCACTGCTTGCAATGGTAAGGACGTGAAGTCAAATTAGATCTAGTAGTCTACTCAGTACTATAGTGTCACATTTTACTTTTTAGTGGCATCTTTAACAGTCTTTTGATCCAGAATGCTCTGAATTACAAGTTGTAAGTCTACATGATCTTAGTCCAAAAGTCAGTAGGAAATTTCAATCCACTTCTGTTCAAGTACACTCTGCCATTAATGAAAACTATTAAACCTGAAATGGACATTTAACTTTCTAAATTAGCAATGGAGATTAAAATGCATAGACTAATCACTATTTTTGTTTACAAATTGGTAATTGACTTGGATGCTGGTGTGAGGAAATAAGACTCTGTGGAGGGAAATTGAAAATTTATATTAGCAATATAAAGAAAGCAAAAAGTGTATAGTGAGGCAATGAAAACAGAGACTCATGAGTGAGCTGCTACTTGCCCTGTGATTTAAAAAGTTTGTCATGTCATTACAGATTTATTTATTTTATTTTTTTTTTTTTTTTTTTTTTTTTTTTTTTTTTATTTACCCAGGGTAACCCCATCAGTGAGTAAAACACTGTTATACTCGGGGGCCCTGCAATAGTACAACACAAATTACAAACATGTAAATGAATACAGAACAACAAATATTACTAAGACATCAGACCTGCACGAAATATTAAACTTTTAAGAAAAAAAAAAAAAAAAAAAAACCTATAAGGCTCCCACAATGCCTCCGCTTGCCGGAACCAACTGGACCGCAGGGTCTGAGGCACTACCTCCAAACACTACTCTCCCTCGCCACCCCATAATGAATTTTTATTTTTTTGTTTGTTTGTTGATGTGTTTGTGTTCATACCAAACCATCTACTGATTTCTAATTCTCCAATATGAAGTAGCAAAGGACTGCCTAGAAACAGCGCCCCGAATACCACTATCCAGCCGATTCCAGCTAGAGAACGGAAGCACAATGGGAAAAGGCTCTTTTACCAGCCTGTGTGCGGACAAGTGGCACCACAACACCATTGTGCACTGCATTTCTTGTCCGGTGTGAATGTATACTTTCTGAACGTACAAAAAGTTCAATGAGGTAAACTGGTGCTTCCCCGCGGAGTACACTGTGCACTGTTGTGCATTTATGGAATTGCCACCTTTCTTCAATTGAAACCCATTTTAATTTGTTATATGCCTGTTCAATGGGAGTAGAATAATTGACTTTTAAGATCAACCGGGCCATTTTCTTGTGTTGTCTTATCAAACCGTCTTTCAAATATTGTGCACATGTGGACCATGAATTGCTACAGTAGTCAAAGTAAGGTAATATAAGTGAGTTAGCTAAGACTTTAGAGCTGCATGTCAACAGTGAGGTATTTTCGGAGTCTACCAAAGAGTGCAAGTCGGGAACCAATCTTTTTCATTGTTTCTTCAATATGTTTTTGCCAAGTTAATGTCTCATCCATCCAAACCCCAAGATATTTATAGGTGTTAACTAGATTCATAACCTTTGATTAGTTATCCGATTTTGATCAAAAAATTTTCTGATTTTTCTGCTTATATTAAGGTAAGTTATTTTATTAGTGGACTTGCCCTTTGATGGAGCTTTGTGTAATGCAGGTATCAAAATCTATTGAAATATTACGTTAAAGAGGGTGTAGATTGGCAATATACTGGTTAACGGCATCTACGTCTTCTTTTGGACAACTGCGCTTAAACGAACGGACTTGATTAACAGTTCTCTACATCAGGCGCGTACGCATGGGGGGGGGGGGGCTGTTTTGGGGGCTTAAGCCTCCCTCCCCCCCCCCCTCGATTTTTATTTATTTAAAATCTGTTTTAGTGCAAGGGTGGAGGGGTTGTGCGGATTTTTTTTTAAAATGAATGCTTCTTTACCTTCTTCCCCCCCATCACCCAACTGAGCGAAATTTCGATCGACGCGATTTTCCCATTTCCGGGGGCAAAAAAAATTTAAAAATTATGGTTACCCCCCCCCCCCCCCCCCTGCGTTTTGTTTTGAGCTCAAATGCCTTATTTTGCGTAAACACCATCATAATTAATGCAAAGGTAATTATCAAATGATGGTTTCCAAATGCTTTTGAATCTTTTGGACCTTAAATATTTCAGTTACATACAAAGGGTTATTCATATAAAATACGGCACAGTCCATCTCTATGAAGCTTGGTACACTTATCGCCTCAAATAGTCCGAAACTGCTCAATTAATTTCAATGACCACAGTAAACCATGTTTACTTTGTTCTGAAATTATGTCCATATCTTTAAAAAACGGGACAGCGACTCGGTTTGAAACTTAGAACTAAATAGTATAAATTTGGTATAATGACATTGTAGTAATCGTAATTCATCACTACCACAGTCGTTATCAATACAGTTATCTTCATGATTATCACCAGCATCAACTTGTTCAGGTTTTTTTAAGTCGTTTTCATTGTCATGAAAAGAACTTAAAAACAGACCTTCTCATACTTGTTCACAATTATCATTGGCTCGTGACAGTCATCTGTGCCACGATCTCGGAATGCCAGACCGGAGAGATTTGTTCTTCGGGTACGTGCACCTGTCCAGATGGGTACAGTGGTTCAAGCTGTGACCAAGGTAAGATTTCCTCAAACCTCCTACCTTTCAACTCAGGCTTCACATCCCCATTCGATCACCAATGAAAAGACACAATATTATTTTAGTTGAATGGCCTTTATTAGTTGATTCCCAGCAAGGAACTGACGAACAAACTTTGCTCTAAGAATCGTTCTATCCAATATAACAAAAGTTTGAAACAAGCTACAGTGTCGATTAAAAAGGAGATGTTTAAAAACTGTAAGTCTTCATGCAATAACCCTGTTTTGGGGTTGGGGGGCCGGGGGGGGGGCAGGGCCCAGATTACTATCGCTTGAATCACTCTATATTAGTGCATCCACACAAAAACATATGACTATCAAGTCTTGTTGATTTTTCGTAGCATTTGTTCACGATTTCATTTGACATTTATTTTTACTTTTTTAGTCTCTAGATCTAGATCTAGTCTAGATTCTAGAGTGCATGGAGATACAAATAATTGGTGCCAATTTAAGATGAAAAGCTGATTCAATTAGAACTTTAGAAAATTCTTGACTGCATGCTATATGGGTGAAAAAAAATGTTTACTTTTCCTAGACATTGACGAATGCGTGGTGGATACAACACTCTGTGCAAATGGAATGTGTTCGAACACACCGCCTGGCTCTTACACCTGTAGCTCGTGTGACTCTGGATATGAATTAAACGATGATAGCACTGCTTGTGATGGTAAGGATGTGAAATCAAATTAGATCTAGTCATCTACTCAGTACTAGTGTCCCATTTTATTTTTTAGTGGCATCTTTAACAGTCTTTTGATCCAGAATGCTCTGAATTACAAAGTTGTAGGTCTACATGATCTTAGTCCAAAAGTCAGTATGAAATTGAAATCCACTTCTTTTAATAGGAGTAGAAAAACGAGAGAAACAAGTCAGTGAAAGTTTGAGCAAATTCCGACTAAAAATAAGGAAGTTAGGATTTTTGAAGTTGTGATCAATCAAACACAAATTGGCAACTCTATGACGTATCATGCGAGCTCAACTTCCATTTGCTCAGTACTAAAAAAATCTAAAATTTTCATTTTCCCTCAAGAAAAATTTCAACCATACATGCACCCTAAATATAATAATTGCAAATATGTTTCTATACTCCCCCTGCAAGGAACAAATATATATTCCGTCATCAATAACAAAGAAAACATGATTTTATGGAATATTATGCACAAAGCAAATGAAGGAGAGCTCGTATAATAAGTCACAGAGTTGCCAATTTGTATTTGATTGATCACAACTTCAATAATTCATAACTTTCTTATTTTCATTCAGAATTTGCTCAAACTTTCACTCACCTGATTTTCTTATTATTCTGCCTCTATCGAAACAAACTTATTTTGGGGGTGGACTTTCCCTTTAAATCTGAAATGGACATTTAACTTTCTAAATTAGCAATGGAGAGTAAAATGTATAGACTAATCTTTATTTTTGTTTAAAAATTGGCAATTTCTTGTTGATTTTTCGTAGCATTTGTTCACGATTTCATTTGACATTTATTTTTACTTTCTTACTCTCTAGATCTAGATCTAGTCTAGATGCTAGAGTGCATGGAGAATCAAATAAATGGTGCCAATTTAAGATGAAAAGCTGATTCAATTAGAACTTTAGACAAACTCTTAACTGCATGCTATGGGTGAAAAAATGTTTACTTTTCCTAGATATTAACGAATGCATGGTGGATACAACGCTCTGTGCAAATGGAATGTGTTCAAACACAGATGGCTCTTACACCTGTAGCCCGTGTGACTCTGGATATGAATTAAACGATGATAACACTGCTTGCAATGGTAAGGATGTGAAATCAAATTAGATCTAGTCGTCTGCTCAGTACTAGTGTCCCATTTTATTTTTTAGTGGCATCTTTAACAGTCTTTTGATCCAGAATGATCTGAATTACAAGTTGTAGGTCTACATGATTTTAGTCCAAAAGTCAGTAGGAAATTGAAATTTACTTCTGTTAATGAACACTCTGCCATCAATGAAAACTATTAAATCTGAAATGGACATTTAACTTTCTAAATTAGCAATGGAGAGTAAAATGTATAGACTAATCATTATTTTTGTTTACAAATTGGCAATTTCTTGTTGATTCTTCGTAGCATTTGTTCACGATTTCATTTGACATTTATTTTTACTTTCTTACTCTCTAGATCTAGATCTAGTCTAGATGCTAGAGTGCATGGAGAATCAAATAAATGGTGCCAATTTAAGATGAAAAGCTGATTCAATTAGAACTTTAGACAAACTCTTAACTGCATGCTATGGGTGAAAAAATGTTTACTTTTCCTAGATATTAACGAATGCATGGTGGATACAACGCTCTGTGCAAATGGAATGTGTTCAAACACAGATGGCTCTTACACCTGTAGCCCGTGTGACTCTGGATATGAATTAAACGATGATAACACTGCTTGCAATGGTAAGGATGTGAAATCAAATTAGATCTAGTCGTCTGCTCAGTACTAGTGTCCCATTTTATTTTTTAGTGGCATCTTTAACAGTCTTTTGATCCAGAATGATCTGAATTACAAGTTGTAGGTCTACATGATTTTAGTCCAAAAGTCAGTAGGAAATTGAAATTTACTTCTGTTAATGAACACTCTGCCATCAATGAAAACTATTAAATCTGAAATGGACATTTAACTTTCTAAATTAGCAATGGAGAGTAAAATGTATAGACTAATCATTATTTTTGTTTACAAATTGGCAATTTCTTGTTGATTCTTCGTAGCATTTGTTCACGATTTCATTTGACATTTATTTTTACTTTCTTACTCTCTAGATCTAGATCTAGTCTAGATGCTAGAGTGCATGGAGAATCAAATAAATGGTGCCAATTTAAGATGAAAAGCTGATTCAATTAGAACTTTAGACAAACTCTTAACTGCATGCTATGGGTGAAAAAATGTTTACTTTTCCTAGATATTAACGAATGCATGGTGGATACAACGCTCTGTGCAAATGGAATGTGTTCAAACACAGATGGCTCTTACACCTGTAGCCCGTGTGACTCTGGATATGAATTAAACGATGATAACACTGCTTGCAATGGTAAGGATGTGAAATCAAATTAGATCTAGTCGTCTGCTCAGTACTAGTGTCCCATTTTATTTTTTAGTGGCATCTTTAACAGTCTTTTGATCCAGAATGATCTGAATTACAAGTTGTAGGTCTACATGATTTTAGTCCAAAAGTCAGTAGGAAATTGAAATTTACTTCTGTTAATGAACACTCTGCCATCAATGAAAACTATTAAATCTGAAATGGACATTTAACTTTCTAAATTAGCAATGGAGAGTAAAATGTATAGACTAATCATTATTTTTGTTTACAAATTGGCAATTTCTTGTTGATTCTTCGTAGCATTTGTTCACGATTTCATTTGACATTTATTTTTACTTTCTTACTCTCTAGATCTAGATCTAGTCTAGATGCTAGAGTGCATGGAGAATCAAATAAATGGTGCCAATTTAAGATGAAAAGCTGATTCAATTAGAACTTTAGACAAACTCTTAACTGCATGCTATGGGTGAAAAATGTTTACTTTTCCTAGATATTAACGAATGCATGGTGGATACAACGCTCTGTGCAAATGGAATGTGTTCAAACACAGATGGCTCTTACACCTGTAGCCCGTGTGACTCTGGATATGAATTAAACGATGATAACACTGCTTGCAATGGTAAGGATGTGAAATCAAATTAGATCTAGTCGTCTGCTCAGTACTAGTGTCCCATTTTATTTTTTAGTGGCATCTTTAACAGTCTTTTGATCCAGAATGATCTGAATTACAAGTTGTAGGTCTACATGATTTTAGTCCAAAAGTCAGTAGGAAATTGAAATTTACTTCTGTTAATGAACACTCTGCCATCAATGAAAACTATTAAATCTGAAATGGACATTTAACTTTCTAAATTAGCAATGGAGAGTAAAATGTATAGACTAATCATTATTTTTGTTTACAAATTGGCAATTTCTTGTTGATTCTTCGTAGCATTTGTTCACGATTTCATTTGACATTTATTTTTACTTTCTTACTCTCTAGATCTAGATCTAGTCTAGATGCTAGAGTGCATGGAGAATCAAATAAATGGTGCCAATTTAAGATGAAAAGCTGATTCAATTAGAACTTTAGACAAACTCTTAACTGCATGCTATGGGTGAAAAAATGTTTACTTTTCCTAGATATTAACGAATGCATGGTGGATACAACGCTCTGTGCAAATGGAATGTGTTCAAACACAGATGGCTCTTACACCTGTAGCCCGTGTGACTCTGGATATGAATTAAACGATGATAACACTGCTTGCAATGGTAAGGATGTGAAATCAAATTAGATCTAGTCGTCTGCTCAGTACTAGTGTCCCATTTTATTTTTTAGTGGCATCTTTAACAGTCTTTTGATCCAGAATGATCTGAATTACAAGTTGTAGGTCTACATGATTTTAGTCCAAAAGTCAGTAGGAAATTGAAATTTGCTTCTGTTAATGAACACTCTGCCATCAATGAAAACTATTAAATCTGAAATGGACATTTAACTTTCTAAATTAGCAATGGAGAGTAAAATGTATAGACTAATCATTATTTTTGTTTACAAATTGGCAATTTCTTGTTGATTCTTCGTAGCATTTGTTCACGATTTCATTTGACATTTATTTTTACTTTCTTACTCTCTAGATCTAGATCTAGTCTAGATGCTAGAGTGCATGGAGAATCAAATAAATGGTGCCAATTTAAGATGAAAAGCTGATTCAATTAGAACTTTAGACAAACTCTTAACTGCATGCTATGGGTGAAAAAATGTTTACTTTTCCTAGATATTAACGAATGCATGGTGGATACAACGCTCTGTGCAAATGGAATGTGTTCAAACACAGATGGCTCTTACACCTGTAGCCCGTGTGACTCTGGATATGAATTAAACGATGATAACACTGCTTGCAATGGTAAGGATGTGAAATCAAATTAGATCTACTCGTCTACTCGGTACTAGTGTCCCATTTTATTTTTTAGTGGCATCTTTAACAGTCTTTTGATCCAGAATGCTCTGAATTACAAGTTGTAGGTCTACATGATCTTAGTCCAAAAGTCAGTATGAAATTGAAATCCACTTCTGTTAAAGTACAATCTGCCATTAATGAAAACTATTAAATCTGAAATGGACATTTAACTTTCTAAATTAGCAATGGAGAGTAAAATTCATAGACTAATCACTATTTTTGTTTACAAATTGGCAATTGACTTGGATGCTTGTGTGAGGCAATAAGATTTTTTGGAGGGAAAATGAAAATTCATATTAGCAATATAAAGAAAACAAAAAGTGTATAGTGAGGCAATGAAAACAGAGACTCGTGATTGAGCTGCTACTTGCCCTGTGATTTAAAAAGTTTGTCATGTCATTACAGATTCATAACCTTTGATTAGTTATCCGATTTTGATCAAACTTTTTTTCTGATTTTTCTGCTTATATTCAATTAAGTTATTTTATTAGTGGACTTGCCCTTTAATGGAGCTATGTGTAGTGCAGGTATCGAAATCTATTGAAATATTATGTTAAAGGGGGTGTAGATTGGCAATATACTGGTTAACGCCATCTACGTCTTCTTTTGGACAACTGCGCGTAAACGAACGGACTTGATTAACAGTTCTCTACATCAGGCGGGTACGCAGGGGGGGGGGGGGGTGTTTTGGGGGTTAAAGCCCCCTTCCCCCCTCCACTTTTATTTATTTAAAATCTGTTTTAGCTCAAGGGTGGGGGGGGGGTTGTGCAGATTTTTTTTAAATTAATGCTCCTTTACCCCCTTCACCCCTCCCCCAACTGAGCGAAATATCGGTCGACGCGATTTTCCCATTTCCGGGGGCAAAAAAATTTAAAAAATTCTGGTCACTACCCCCCTCCCCCCCCCCCCCCCCCCCCCCCCTGCATTTTGTTTTGAGCTCAAATGCCTTATTTTGCCTAAACACCATCATAATTAATGCAAAGGTAATTATCAAATGATGGTTTCCAAATGCTTTTGAATCTTATGGACCTTAAATAATTCAATTACACACAAAAGTTATTCATATAAAATACGGCACAGTCCATCTCTATGAAGCTTGGTACACTTATCGCCTCAAATAGTCCGAAACTGCTCAATGAATTTCAATGACCACAGTAAACCGTGTTTACTTTGTTCTGAAATTATGTCCATATCTTAAAAAAAACAGGACAGCGACTCGTTTTGAAACTTAGAACTAAATAGTATAAATTTTGGTATAATGACATTGTAGTAATCGTAATTCATCACTACCACAGTCGTTATCAATACAGTTATCTTCATGATTATCACAGCATCATCTTGTTCAGGTTTTTTTAAGTCGTTCTCATTATCATTAAAAGCTAGAACTTAAATACAGACCATCTCATACTTGTTCACAATTATCATTGGCTCGTTACAGTGGCCTGTACCTTGGACTCGGAATGCCAGACCGGAGAGATTTGTTCTTCGGGTACGTGCACCTGTCCAGATGGGTACAGTGGTTCAAGCTGTGACCAAGGTAAGATTTCCTCAAACATCCTACCTTTCAACTCAGGCTTCGCATCTCCATTCGATCACCAATGAAAAGACACAATATTATTTTAGTTAAATGGCCTTTATTAGTTGATTTGCTCTAAGAATCATTCTATCTTCCAATGTAACAAAAGTTTGAAACAAGCTACAGTGTCGATTAAAAAGGAGAAGGTTGAAAACTGTAAGTCTCAAATAACCCTGTTTTGGGGGCCGGGGGGCCGGGGCCAGGGCCCCAGATTACTATCGCTTGAATCACTCTATATTAGTGCATCCACACAAAAACATATGACTATCAAGTCTTGTTGATTTTTCGTAGCATTTGTTCACGATTTCATTTGACATTCATTTTTACTTTTTTACTCTCTAGATCTAGTTTAGATTCTAGAGTCTACTCAGTACTAGTGTCCCATTTTATTTTTTAGTGGCATCTTTAACAGTCTATTGATCCAGAATGATCTGAATTACAAGTTGTAGGTCTACATGATTTTAGTCCAAAAGTCAGTAGGAAATTGAAATCCACTTCTGTTAATGAACACTCTGCCATCAATGAAAACTATTAAATCTGAAATGGACATTTAACTTTCTAAATTAGCAATGGAGAGTAAAATGTAAAGACTAATCACTATTTTTGTTTACATATTGGCAATTTCTTGTTAATTTTTAGTTGCATTTGTTCACGATTTCATTTGACATTCATTTTTAATTTTTTATCCCCTCGCCGACGAAGTCGGAGGGGATATAGAAACGCTGCCGTCCGTCCTTCCTTCCTTCTGAAATTGGATATGAAGATACATAATATCTAAATACAGGCTAAGTTCAATTTTGGAGTACGTAGGTCAATGGTCAAAGGTCATAGCTCACTAAATATGCGAATCTGGTTTCCGATTGATAACTTTAGTATTGTTTGACGGATTTTAATGAAATTTGATATGAAGGTACTTGGTATCATAACTCAGCCTAAGTCCAATTTCAGAGTATGTAGGTCAAACGTCATAGCTCATTGAATATGCGAATCTGGTTTCTGATCCATCCCCCCCCCCCCCCCCCCCCTTTGACTCTTGAATCTGAATGACCTAGCAAGGTATGGAAACATAGTTATGTATTGTTAACATTTCATGTCTTTACATCATATCAATAATGATACCTTATCAAACTTCCATCACTACAGCAACTACCCCGGCCACAAGAATGCGAGGGGTAAGTGAAATGATATCTTTTAAAGCTTGATGGGGAGAGGCTTTTCTCAATATTGTACATGTAATGTGTGGCTAAGTATTTGTGTTTACTATATAATGATCTAAAAATGTATAATTCTTTGTTAGGAATGTCTATGAAAGTTATTTCCTAAGAAAGAACTATCTCCTTCGTGATTAATGTAATGACTTGTTGCCTACAGAATACATTCAATTAATATTCTGAACAAAAGCATTTTGTTCTGAAGAAAAACATAAATTCATTGCTTAGAAAATATTGTACAAAAAGTACAATTTTGCTGTTCACATCTTTTTGTCACTAAACACAATCCCGTATTAATATGGTTTGGGTTCACCTTTGATGTGGAACATGGGAGAGATAGTATTTGTGCATTTTTAGCGATAAATGCTGACCACTAATCCTAATATAAGATAATTAGATAATCCATTCTTTCAATACAATTGAAACTTATACTATGTGCATTTAAATTTTCCTTCCAGACTCTTCAATGTTATTCTTGTTCGACTAACTCCATATCGGATGTTTGCTCTACTGCTGATGACCTTGCAAGCGGTTCTGGAGTATCAACTGTTACATGCTATGAAGGACAGCGTTGTTGGGTATTCAAATACTTTGAAATTTATATTTTTCTTCACAGGGTTGATCTGGCATGTGTATATAGTTTGGTATTATAACAGAAAATACAATGAGGATATATCTCTAAATTGATGTTGTGAAACAGAAGACATGAATTTATACAAAGTAAACATTAATTTTCACCTAAGATTATGTTGTGTCTCATCTGTTTATTTATTTTGTCCTCATATACTCGGAGTAAATGATAGTTTTGTCCATTTTTGGGGGTTTTAATTTTTTCTTCTCTCTTTTGCTTTAATTTTTCTTATCAAAGAAAAAAAATAATGAAATACATTACAAAGCAAGAGAACAATTTTTTTAGTGGGATGTCTATAAAAACCAATGGACAAAAACATTAGTTAACTAGATAAAGGAAAGAGCCATGCGATTCATATTTTCAAGAAATCAAATGTTGAAATGAAAATTCTACAGAACTGAATATGAAAGATCAAGTTACATAGTCATAATAAAAACTCTCTTCATTTCTTGCAGACTGATCATTATGAGAACTCATCACACACGGTTGTGTCGCGTGGATGCACAGATGAGCCATGTGAAAACTTGCATAAAGGTGGTGGACCTTACTGCACTATGGCTAATAACGTTACCAGTTGCACATCCTGTTGTACTGAGTCAAATTGCAACGACAACAAATCCAGCTCTGAGGGTCTCACTTGTAGCTGTGTGACATGGCTGACATCTCTTTTCTCAGTGGTCATCATGCTCATCACTTATAGAACCTAAATAAATTCAAATTTCAAAAGCTGTTTCTATTTTAACATTTATTATAACAGGCACAAATTTGCCTATTCAATTCACAGTCAAATTTTAATTCTAAACCATCAGTGTTTGCAAAAGTAAGTAACAGACTTGTGTTTTACAAATAACTATTGATTGAATAAAACATTCAATTGAAAATAATTGAAGTTTTCTCAATTTTAGCTCTGGTAATTTTTCTTCTATAATATTGTACATATTTATTAATAGAAAAGTTTAGAATGGCTTTAATGTACTTTTTACATTCAAAATGTCTTAAAATCCGTCCTGAATTTTCTGCATGAAGTTATTCCTGAAAACACATAGCGAGATTAGCATTTTTCAGGAAAAATAACATTTGATGATTTAATTGGACAAGTTAAATCTGTCAAAAAGATGAAACATAAAGATTGTCAAGCGAACAAAACCCTTAAAATGCAGAAAAAGACATTAAAACTGATAAATAGTTTCTTGAAGTTTTCAACTTTGCTGTAGATTTTGTGACCTTACCAAATGTAATATAGACGAGTGGAAATTATTTGATAAATAGAGAATAGGATAAAACAATATGACATTTATTTTTTAAGAGAGTTTTAATAAATCTGATAGAACACTGTTTAATATTCTAATTACATTTATATTTACATTACATTTGAATGACACAAATGACCTGGGTATCAGGCTTCTAAAGCTTGTTTCCATGATGTGTTTTCTCTAATCAAAATGTAGTGTATGTATCAATAAACTGATGATTGCCAGTATGTTGATGTAGACCTGAAAGGTATGAAAAACTACTCATAAAATATTCGTTTTATCAACCAATACACAGGTAGAACACTTATGAATGCATTGTATTCATTGCCTGAAGAAACTGTTTGAAAGGTGGGAATAGAAATGTATTTTGTAGTCTTGGAGTGAGGAGAAAGCTCCATACATGATATTTAAATGAGAAACCTGATAAGATGTACACAAATATTGTGATAGTCTACTCATATTGCCCTCCATGAACTTATCATTTTCTTTTTTGGGGAGGGGGCCGAGGTGAGATGTTGCAAACATTATGAGCTGGCCGTGTTTAGGGCTATAATGGTACTCATAACTGTGTTAAGCACTTTACATCTGTAATCATTATCGATACATAAAGGAAGACATTGACTAAAAGAAACAAACAGATTTTCCATTTTGTTTTCTCCATTCAACCCAAGTAAGAATAATTGTACTTTTTAACTATTACAGCACTGTACAAAAAAAAAGAGCAATTATTTGTCCAAGCTTGCGAGATTAGCCGAATACCAACTGGTCGTGAATTGAGTTCATTGGTTCCTCGAGGAACAGATATATTAATTGTGCCTACAAAATATATACTAGAAAGTTGTTGTACAGTCTCATATTGTATAGTTACGTATTCTATTTGGATACACAAGAAAATATGCTTTTAAAGGTACTGTATTGCAATGAAATGTTTAGTGTTATAAACAAAAAGACTCGCATGACTTCAGTGTAAAAAAAAATTGTATTTTCTAAACATTTTCTATGGTATGCTCTATCACCTTGATTGTTTTGTCAAAACTTTGACTTTGTTGTTCTCTGTTAAAAAGCTGCTTATCTGTACAAAAAAGAATGATGTTGTTGAAGTTGTTGATGCAGAGCTATTTTCTTGATAATTTTATAAAAAATGTAACTAAGTGAATTCAATTTTTGGGTTGTACATGTATTTCAAAGTACATCTTATTCTTTGCAATAGATGAACATAATCTCAAATATACATGTACAATAAATTGTTAGGTAATAATGTATTGTCAATTCATTTTCCTTTTAATGTTCTAAATAAAGTTTGGATTGAGGTGTCATAAATCATAGTTAATGTGGATTTTTTTTTTTCTTTAGAATAGTGAAACAAAGTTTTCTAACTATATCCAGTAATGTGGAAAAGTATGTGATCGTAGAGTGTAAACTGTAATTGGTCAAAAGACCATGAGGCAAACAATGTCGGTCTCAAAGGCCTCTTCACAACTTTATTTTGAGGGTTCACGAAACCAAGAGACCACTAGACAGACAAAGCCAATCTCGTTGGTCTTCTGACAAGTTTTTGAGGGTTCAATAAACCAAAAGACCACTAGACAGACATTGTCAGTCTCGTGGGCCTTCTGACAACTTTTTGAGACTGACTACCATATGAATGACATGCTTCTTTCTATATTCATTTTGTATTCATTTATTATTATAAATTTGTTGTTGTGGTCTCATGGGCCGTCTGCTACTGGGATGACCCCAATATGGCCCAAGAGACCGAGAGGCCATGAAGCTGACAGCCCATGAGACCGACATATTGTCAAGTTGATATTGATGCCCATGGAAATTTTGTTCAACCAAATTAATGATTCCTTAATCATAAATAACTTAATGCTGTGGTAATTTATTGAGCTGTGCACAAAACATTACATTTCAGTCAAGCTCAAATCACATTAGGTTGAGCATCTATTAAAAGTTCAATTTTTTGCTCAGTCCAAGCATTCCCTAGGTCAATTAATTAAATATAATTGAACCAGAGGCATCACTTGTTGCGGAAATTTTGAACTCAAAAGTGAAAAATTGCATGACTCTATTTAGGCACTGAAGAGTTATAAACTGCCGAGTTTCACTCTTTCAACATGGAAACTCTTGTATTGTTTTGAATATTAAACAATTATAATTTGAATAAATTATAGTCGAAATTATTTTTGAATTTATTAAAAATTATTTTGACTACATATTTCAAAGCACCTATTTTTCTTCAAATTTCAAGCAAACAATTGAAATTCCAATTCACATTTTTCACAGTTATTGGTAAAGGACTCGACAACATGGTGAGAAATCAGTCTTCAGCGTATGGATGACAAGAGAGGCAAAAAGAATTATAAAGAAGTAAAATATATATTTTCATTTCTATTATTAAGTTATATGTACATTAAGAATGGCAAATTGTCTGTAAGCATTCGCTAATGGATGTGAAAACAAGAGGCAATTAAAGGAAGTCGATTCACTACATGATAACATATCATTTTGTTTAACTTTCCAAAACAAATCCCAATATATAAACCTATTTCATACACAATACATAACATTACTTTTCATATCAAAATACTATTTTTAAAGGGGAAAATTACAAAACAAACATCAAAATGTTCATCATGAGAGGTTGATAGCACTGATTTTTTTAACATGAAGGTACTAAAAATTACAAAATTCTTTAAAATATTGTTAAAATGCTAAATCGTCCTGGCATAAAATAATGGTGAACTAAAGTTCAATGCATCCAATCCCCATTGTTTTACACACACATGTACATGTATAATTATGAAAATAATTATAGTATTGGAAATTTTCATAGCAAACAAATTCACCATGCTAGGTGCTCAAAGCGCTCCAATATGGCTCTGCTTACTAGGCTACCATTTACAGTATGCAAGGAATTCCTTCCAACCAGTAGTGGCAAATGACGATTAACATCCTGCTAAAGGTCATAAGTGCCGCAGCGGGACTCGAAACATGAATCATATAATCTACAGTCCAACAGCGTATTTACTAGACAACGATAAGGAGGAGGACGACGACCATTATTCCAATCCACACCTTGCTGCTGTTAAGGTCAGCCTTTTTCTTGAGCCATTCTCCCAACTTCATTTAAAGGACATACCGGTTCCCAATGGGCTTCCTCTTACTTCTAATTCCAGAGAGCTGAAATGCAGCTGACTGTATGAAGATTGTCAACGGCCAGGTCCAATGGATGGGATATCAATTGTATTATGGAATAGTGAACATAAATTTATACAAAGATATTATTTTATAGGAGATTTGCAGATTCAAGCCTTGATATAATCATCGGATATACTAAGTTCGCAGATGTGGTGGGTAACATACATGTATGGGACAAGAAAGTTTGAACTTGCTTAAATATTTGAAGACTTCTGAACTAATCTCAAAGCTACCTGTGATCAAGCTGTTGTTCGGCACTGCACAGGTCAACAACCTTGAAGGCTTGGTATCTATGATTAAGAGACGATTCTGCATGAAGTTTGTATCTGCTCCCTAAAGCACCATCTGGGTGACTGTCTATGTAGAAGACACGACGTATACGAGAATGTACCAGGGCCATAGCACACCTGGAGATAAAGAATCAGCATAAAAAGACAGATAAAGAGATAGAGATGGAGAGATAGACAGATGAAGAGATAGAGATGGAGATATAGACAGATGAAGAGATAGAGATAGACAGATGAAGAGATAGAGATGGAGAGATAGACAGATGAAGAGATAGAGATGAAGAGATGGAGAGATAGACAGATGAAGAGATAGAGATGGAGATATAGACAGATGGAGAGATAGAGATGGAGAGATAGACAGATGAAGAGATAGACAGATGTAGAGATAGACAGATGAAGAGATAGAGATGTAGAACAAAATCAAGGAAATTAAAGGAGACCAAAAAAAAGTTGTGTGTAATCGCTTACATGTAGGAAGGTTCAAGGTTGCATGACACTTGCTCCAGCCCCACACTAACCGAATGTGTAGCTTTATAATCCTTGACCCAACACCAATACAAATTCTAACCATAAACCTAACCTAGAACATAATGGGAACCATAAACCTCACTAAGGACATTTTGTACCTTTGATGAAATAAGGCCCGGATCAAACGTCAAATTACCTGTAGAAAATGCATATAATTTATCAACGCACATGGGTTTAGTGTGTTTCTAACAACGTTTATTTCCAATCCAATTCAAAAGGTATTTGATATGAATGTCAATTACATTATTGATCTCAAAAAATACAAGCTACACCACAAGAACCTGTTTGTGCAATAAACACTCATGAATGTGCATGTAGACTCCTATTCACTAGGTGAAAACAGATGGGCTCTTTTATTGGGGCAACTAGTGATATTTAGAAAAAACCAAGCAGATTTGTTATAAAATAATTTGTTCAGAAGTTGACCAGACCTATATTCTATGATGAACAACTTAAATCATGTGAATCCTATATTAAAACGAACAGTAACAGGATCACCCGATGAAAATGAAAATTTCTGCTTTATTGTTGACATCTTACATTACAAAATGTCAATATAAAGGGCAAACCAACCTTTGTTATAAATCAATTTGTGCAAACACAGAAAGAACAAAAAATCAAATGGCGAGAACTGGAAATGAATCACAGATATATATACAAATGTCAAATCAGCAATGTGGTCAGGGGGTTGTAACGTAGTCGCAGTCAACTCTGATTTTTTCTGATTTTCTCTTAAGCGCATTGTCCTTTGGGGCACTACTCAAATATATAACATTTATAGTTATAATAAATTGATATTTCAGTCATTTTGTGTTTTGGAACAAATGGAAGAGTTGCCCAGCACTACATCACAGAGACATTAAGGATTCGGCCAATTTGAAATTCCCATATATTTTAAACGTTTCATAACTTTCTTAAAGGTTGGATTGATTTCCTTCAACCTTTCAATCTACTTCTCTGATTTTTCTTCTTTCTTTCGGAACAATTTGCTATCACGGTTGGGTTCCCTTTAAATACACAATGAAGAGACTTTGACTTACATTACACATGGTTCTTGTGTGATATAGAGGTCGAATCCTGTGCACAGATATGGTGTTTCATCGGTACTGCATTCACCATTTACGGACTCATAGCAGCTCTCTTTTTAGTACCAGTAATCAGAAAATTGAAAACTAGTATGAGTACATTGAAAAATCTGCAAAAGGTTTCCTTCTAAATATCACATTTGCACAAGAAAATGGTAGAATCCCAAAAGAGAAGAGACAGTCGCTCTCTACCATTTTACCCCCCTCCCCCCCCCCCCCCCCCCCCCCCTCCCCCTCCATTTGAGATTAGATGCTTACTGTTACTCGATTTGTGGCCCCTGTTAATTTTCTGTTCAATTTTGGCCAAATCTTACATTTTTGCCTGCATCCAAAAATAATTTCATGTTGAAGGTAATGTCAGCTCATTGCAGTGGATGATCAATTTTGTATGCCATTTCATACTTATTATGGGTGAAACTTTAGTACAGGACATGGCTACATTCTGTAGTCATTCATGAAAATATGACCGGAAATACCAATATAGAGTGCCAAACATCTCCAAGGCAATTCACCCTACAGAGCTCAATGTGTATTTTTGCTTAAAGCTTACTTTCAGGCTGATATTGAAACCCATATGTAAATAGTCCATGTGATTTTGTTTCAATTTCTATTCTACGGGTTTCAATTTCCTTTAAAGTACATCATTTTAAGAGATGATTTTCTGGAGAAGGATTTACAATTTTTCTGTACAGAATTGACACTTTTTAAACAAGTTTCTTTCAGTATAATAACATACAGTAGACACCCATATATTCCATCGTCGTTTATATTTGTGTCAGACTGACTATTGGAAACAATGGATCTCTTCTTACAAATTATTCTCTTGCAAATTAAAAATGAAAAAAAATTGCAGACCCCTCCAAGTTATTCACATTCTAAATAGAAATGACTAAAAACATATAACGTCTGATAACACTTTTAAATACAGGTAAATATTGAGAAACAGAGGACATAAACAAAGAAGAAAGAGAAGCACAAAATGAGATGAAGAAAAAAAATAAAACAGGATAAAGGCAAAGATATTACCTGGACAAATGGACCAAGCTCCACCCCCTTGACTATGAGCCACAAGGTCAATGCACTTCATTACAGCATGCTGGAGTGAGTTTTCCCCTATGCCTGGAACGGATGATGTCATTCCCAGAGTGGTATCAGATTTTGGATCTACAATCAATGCACCAATAGCTGCCTAGAAGGAAAGGGGGTGGAGAGGGGGAAAGAGAATTGCATTACTTGTACAAACAGTAGCAAAATATAATACTCAATACATGTTGTAGCATGAAATTTATGCAAACATCAAATATTGGAGTGTATACATATCATACATGTATTTTTTTACACCAATTTCTTTGAGGAAATTCTTATCCAGACTCAAGTCTTCTCTACATTTATACATTATCTCCCCAACTGACTACCATCCAGAGCCAAGCTGTATCAAATCTTATCTTAAGTAATCAGGAACAAGAGTCAAGCACGACAGAGATTTAAGCAATTTCTGTATTCATTTGAGAATCATCGAGACAGAGGCAAGAAATTTGAAAGCCATGTAGCAGAATATTATAAATTTCATTATAAAATCTTTACCTCATTGGTGAGATAGTATGGGCTGCCCTATATTCATGAGGCTTACATGTACAAACACCAACTTTACTTCTATGATCAAAGACCATTATTTATTTTTTTCCAGACAGGATATCTAGCTGGAATTTAACAGCATGTTCTGGAAGTTTACTTTTTCAGTAACTTTTCTTGACATGAAATAAAACATCCAAGTCAAGAATAAAAAAAAAACCTCATCATGAAGCGTACAAGAATGGGGTAGATTAGCACAGCCTGAACTGTCAAAGTCAACTGATTCAAATAAATGGTTTAAATAGTAACATCTCTCCCACCTTTCCATTCACTTTGGCTTCCTCAGCTTTTCTTATAGCTTTTAGGATGTTTGTGTGAACATTTTTCCTGTCCAGTGCTGAAAAGTGCTCTCCAGATATTAGCCTGCTGAGCCTGGAAGAAAATCATTTAAAAAAACAAAATGAAGATCACTTTTATTACTGATTGAATCATTCTCATCAATGATGTAGCGCGGAGTACACCATTTCCTATACTGCTATGAGAGAGCAAGTTTACAGGGAAAAAAAGTATACTCCAAATGAAGTCAAAGGGGCATCAATCTGTAAAAGGGGGATTCCAACTGGATCTTAAGTTAAATCTGTTTTAATGAAATCAGAAAATTGAGAAACAGATTAAAATATGATACAGGTAGAACCCTCTATAGTTGTAATCACAAAATGCAAATTGACAACTCCATGGCATACCTTTCATGCAACTTAACCATTTGCTTTGGACTACGGGTAAGATTTTTATGTTCCCGGTTTTTCATAAAGGATCAGATTTATTTAATAATTGGTTTAATATGTAAACACATATATGTGGAATAGTTGTATAGTGTACATGTTTTTATATTTTATTTAAAGAAAATGGAGATTTATGACTTTCATAATGCCTACTTAGTAGTCTTGCAGCAAGTACTCATATATTTTACAAACATAATAACTATAATTTAATACGGGAAAATAAACGTGCATACTATGACTCTAAGTTTGATAATGTTCGAAATAATGTGAAAGCAACATGGAAACTTATTAATGCAATTTTAAACAAGAAAACATTAAAGCATGGGATCAATGATATTGAAGTTGATGGTGAAAAGATTACTGATAAACAAAGAATTGTAAATATATTTAATTCTTATTTTTGTACAATCGGGCAAAAACTACAGCAAAGTATTGATAATTTGATTACTTGCAATATTGAATCAACAAAATACGACGAGTACTTGAAGGGTAACTTTTTGAATTCATTGTTTTTACAGCCTGTTACTAACGCTGATATTATTAATGTGGTTTTGAATTTTGATGAAAATAAAAGTCCAGGATACGATGAAATTCACCCTAAGGTATTGAAAAACTCGATTTATATGATTGTTACACCTTTGTGCAATATCTTAAACTTTTCCTTTGAACAAGGTATTTTCCCCGATGCTCTAAAAATTGCAAAGGTGATTCCTGTTTTTAAAAAAGGCAATAAGTCACTTTTAAATAATTATAGGCCGATATCTGTGTTATCTGTTTTTAGCAAAATATTTGAAAAGATTTTATGTGATCAATTGACTCGTTTTATTAGTAAAAATAATATTCTGTATGAAAATCAATTTGCTTTTAGAAAAGGATACAGTACTTGCCATGCTCTTCTTGATTTTATTGATAAAGTTGCAAATGCTTTTGAACTTAATGAATTTTTAATTGGTGTATTTCTAGACTTATCCAAAGCGTTTGATTGTATTGATCATAATATTTTAATAAATAAGTTATGTTTTTATGGTATAAGAGGAATTCCTCTTCTTTTAATTAAAAATTATTTATCAAACCGAAAGCAATATGTTAGCTTTGGTAATTATTACTCTGATCACAGCACTATTTTAACTGGTGTGCCGCAAGGTTCTAATCTTGGCCCGCTCCTGTTTTTACTGTATATCAATGACTTGCCATCTGTAAGCAATATTTTATCTTCTATTTTATTTGCTGATGACACCACTCTGTTTTTATCTGGTAAAGATCCTGTAGAAATAAATATTCTACTGAATTCTGAAATTGTTAAAATACACAAGTGGTTCCTTGCCAATAAATTGTTGATTAATTTTGAAAAAACAAACTATGTAATTTTTAAAACAAGAAATAAATATGTAAATGAAGCTGCTATCAAGATTTGTATAAATAGTAAAGAAATTAAGCAAGTACACCAAGTTACTTTCTTAGGCGTCATTATTGATGAAAACTTAACGTGGAAGGACCACATTTATTATATTTCTAACAAGCTGTCAAAGGTCATTGGTGTTTTAAATAGACTCAAAGATATTTTACCATTACGCATACTTGTACAATTGTATAACTCTATGATTTTGCCTTATTTTAATTATTGTATTATTGTATGGGGCAACTGCGCTTCGTATCTGCTTCAAAAGCTATTTTTATTACAAAAAAGAGCTGTCAGGGTTATAACAAACTCATATTATAGAGCACATACAGGAACATTGTTTTTTAAGCTGAAGTTTTTAAAACTTTATGATCTATATGATATAAGTATTGGAGCTTTTATGTTTTCTTACATGTACAATATAACTACTTTACCTGATTGTTTTAATAATTATTTTATTTTAAATAGAGATATAAATCAATATAGTACTAGAAATTCACACAAACTTTATGTTCCTTCATTTCGCTATAATTTGTCAAGAACAGTAATAAAATATAAAGGATCCATTATTTGGAATAACTTACCAGATTCTCTCAAAGCATGCCCAACATTGTCTAGTTTTAAGCGTAATTTTAAACACAAACAAATATCAAGTTACAATATACTTTTTTAGCTTTTATTAATTCTGCCTGTCCTTGTATGTGTGTTTATATGTCTTAGTTAATGTAATGTCTATATTGTCAATATTTTGCTTTTAATTACTGAAGATTTTACTTTTGGGGTTGTAGAAAAAGGGGACCAGCCTAGATAGGTCAATGGCCTTTGCTGGTCCCTCACATCCCTACTCCACCCATTAATCAATTTTAGTGTTACTGTTGTTGTTTTTGTTCTTATTATATTTTATATATATTGCATTTTGTATAATTGTATTTTTAATGTTATAATGATGTTTTTATTGGATGTGAAATAAAATGAACTTGAACTTGAACTTGATAGTGGAACATTCAAGTCTGAAGTGTGTATGAAATCAAATAACCTAATAAATCAAAAGTAGTCACTGCATAGAATTGATATTGACATTATCCATCAAATGTGGAATATCCCTTTCTCAGTGAGACACCCATCTTCAGTCTGAAACACTCACTCCTTGTCTTCATGGTATGCTGTAGGCCAGTGTTGAGATGCCTCTTCATACTGAGCTTTGGTCTGAGGTGGGGCACTAGGAATGTATGCAAGAAATGGTTCCCCTAGGAGATCTCTGTCGATGTCATCATTCAGAATCATTGAGACTGATACCTCATCAGTGATGGGCAGTGTTACCTTACTGGTTTCACAAAGAATGATCTGCAGTTCAGCTGGGGGTGAAAACAATTGAAAAATCTGTGAAGCTCAATGATCTTCATCCTTTCTTTGTTTAACTTCTTATAACAAGTAAATTATTCATATCCTCGATCAAGGTTTGTACTTTTTTTTAAGTACCGGTACATGAAAAATGTGATTTGTTTCTTGAGAATATGACATATTAAAACTTACAGGTACATCTAACTAAAATTATCAACAAAGTCCTAATTTAACCAGTCCACCTTTCATTCTTGTTACATTCTTGTCTTGTTCGAATTACAAACACAAAAACACATCAAATTTACAAAGATTATGAATAATTCAGTTGTTAACGGCTACATTGTACATGCTTTTCTATAGGTTCCAGCACATTTCACAGTTTTGTACTTTTCTTGTCTGGGTTTCCTTTAACATGATAAAAGTTGTCAAACATATTTGGTGATATATATTTTTTCAAATTCCAACCTGTCGCTGTTACATATTTTAAGCCCTTGTGGATCGCCCTGTTTTATGGGAACACTGTACCACAATTCTTTAACATCATGAAAAATAAATACCAGTATACCTTTTTCATAACTCCCGTTCTTCAAAGTCTGCTTCCGTACTCTTTTGATGTGTGAAAAGCCGTCTAAAGGATGCACATCTGAAAGCTGCCTAGTGGAAAATTAAAATTAGGGATTATAATCCAGTTTATTCTTGTTTTACCATCAGATAACATAATAATAATGAACTAAGCAATTTCTAATGAATAAATTAATCTGAGTATCCCTCTAAAGATGTCCGGAGTGAAGTGCAATAAATATGTATGTGCATGTATGAAGAGAATGGATATATTCTGATTACATGTTAGTATCGATTCAGTTTAAAAAGCATTATATATGGAAAAACTAGCGTGTATGCAAGCACACTACCAGAATTGCTTACACATACAACATAGTTACCATGGGATACAACAAAATATATTCCTTGATTCATAAAGGCCAAATTGATTACAAAACCAATTACCTAAGTAGAGTGCTTGTGTTCTTCTTGTCGAGAATGGCTGCAGCATAAACAGAAACTGAAATATATATCAAAGAAAAGACAAAACATTAGAATAGAATAGAATAGAATACCCGGTAGACTATAATTGTATTGTCTTCTTCCAAAGAATGAAGAAACTTTCCTCCCAGGTGATACATATACATAAACATTTCACAACTTATACAAAATTTATAATATAAATACAATCATACCAAAATATTCAAATGCATACAAAATACAAAAGTATGAAATGAATAACATACATAGAATACAAATTACATAAAACATAAGGATACATGGAAGAAGACAGAAGGAAGAGATAGAGAAAGAGAAAAGAAAGAAGAAGGGGAAAGAAAGGAAAGTAACAAAAAGAAAAGGAGAGAGAGGGAGAGAAGGAGGTGAATTGGAGGAAGGTAAGCGAGAATTAGCAGAGAAAGGAAAAGAGGGAGAAAGTACATGGCACTTTAAGGTTTAGAAAGTTATTGGGAGGGCAGCTGCACTGCTGCTGCTCAGAGGAAAAGTACACAAAAAAAAACTAAAAACCAACTCCTAAGTACAAGTTGAAATACAAGGTAAAGTCGGCGGGCGCATGCAAGGTGGCTACCATGCCAACCATTGTTGTTAGCTTGGAGACAAGTTCAGCAACCTGGCACGCGCCATTAGTGCAATGGTACAACATTTTGCACGAGGTGAAAGATAAGAGACGCCAAAATAGAGCGTTTCATCTTTCACTGAATGCAAAACCTTGTTCCATTGCACGAATAAAGGCCATTCACTATTTGTTTTATACAACACCTCGGACGTTAATGGGCTTAAAACAGTTTTTCTGGGCCTAAATCTCAGCGATTTTTGTTTGTTTTTAATTCATGAAATTGCCGATAGTGAGCGCGCACTATTAAGCAGGCAGCAAACCATGCGCCGCGCAAACAAAGATTTATGTTTATTTTGACGTGGAGTGCAATTTTGTTTGATCCTTTCGCACCATTGCACTCTGACGTCACTTAGCTCACAATATACTTTGTACATCGTTAGTGACGCCAGAGTGCAATGGTGCGAAAGGATCTAAGGGAATTGCACGGCTGGAGAATGATGCCGTTCAATGGTACTTTTAGCGCATGTCATGTGATCAAGAATTGACCAATGAGGTTGCAAGAATCTTAGTAGGCGTTGTATAAATTAGTCTAAGGCGTAATTTCATTTTAGGCAATAATATCTCACATACATGTACTATCAAAATTATGACTTGTTACCATTGGTGACATTAAATGAAAAGTTTGAATAAAATGATGTGAATAAATACCTAAGGAAACTGGAGCTGAGACATGATCAGGAAGAACTGGTATAATCCTCATCTCATCATGACTGGTAATAATCTGGCTTGAACCTGTTAAAAGTGTGAAATAAGTAAGAGGGTTTGGAAAGTTTTTGGCTACATGATGATGTATACATTTGTAACATAGTGTCATCCTTCAAGGATGAGACTATTGGTACACCATGGATCATAACAGATCTTCATTTTCAAGATTGAAGACTTTCTATAGAAAATTGTGCTTATCAAATGTGAAAACACATTTCATTATGTCATTGAAAACTGTTTTTTTATTTCTTCTTTATCGGCAAAATCTGCCTTATATGTGATTAGTGCTCTACCAGTACCTACCACAGCTAATAAAATGAATAACGATTAACAACATGGTGTGTCAGAAATTTTAAAGATAAACTTTAGTACTGATAATGCGATTGCATTGTGAAAGAAAAGGTGTGGAAAGGATCAGAAACAGTTGATCATGTAGCATGTAAGTATTGGTGTGCACTGCAAGGTTCTGGAGTCATCAAAATCATAATAAATTTGACCGAGTCTTGGTAAAGTAACAAGCACTCACATAGAAAGCTATATACGGGACAACACACATGGTGTCGGGGCTAGTACTACCTTGATTTCCTTGTCTTTCTATGCTCATTACTCAGCCAGTATACATTTTCTTCCAAAATTGTTTGGCACATGTCATTTATTTGTAATCTTGAACATTCAGTGTAAGTTTCGTTTGATTCTGTGAGAATTGTTTTTTTTTTTTTTTTACCAGTACTGGAGTTTATCTTTAAGGTAAAAGTTAATTTGAAAGAAAAAACAATCAAACATATTTAATTAAATGATATATGCAACGGGTGCCTAAAATGTCATGGGCTTTTCCTTTGTAAACTATTTAACAGAATCAACGGAATGACAGTTTTAGGCATCCGGTGTAAAGCGCGCAAGCTTTTACGTTTAATTAAATCATTAGAGAAAAAAGACGATTCGTTGTAACGTTCTCGACTCTTAATCCTCGTCTGAATTCAGTTTCCCCCCCCCCCCCCCTCCCGCGGGAAGCGCTGAAGCTTTTACGTTTCATTAAATCATTAGGAGAAAGAAGACGATTCCTTGTACCGTTCTCGACTCTTAATCCTCGTCTGAATTTAGTTTTCCCCTCCTCCCTCCCGTGCTACACGCAGAAGCTTTTACTTTTCTTTAAAATCATTAAAGAAAGAAGACGATTCGTTGTATACCGTTCTCGACTCTTAATCCTCGTCAAAATTCAGTTCCCCCCCTTCCGCACGCGCAAAGCACGCAAGCTTTTACGTTTAATTAAATCATTAGAGAAAAAAGACGATTCGTTGTACCGTTCTCGACTCTTAATCCTTGTCTAAATTTAGTTCCCCCATCTCCTGCGCGAAGTGCGAAGCTTTGACATTTCATATAATTATTAGAGAAACAAGACGATTCGTTGTACCGTTCTCGAAAATAATCCTAGTCTGAATTCAGTTTACCCCCCCCCCCCCCCCCCCACCCGAAGCTATTACGTTTCATTAAATTATTAGAGAAAGAAGACGATTCGTATTAGGGCAATTCCACGGTAACGGAAGGACACTCAGACAAGATTTTTGAACTTCAGGTTCATACTAAAAGAACTGTTTTATTAGTATAAGATGTGAAACAGTACAGATATAATACCTATATAAGTGCCTTTAATTCTCCCCAAAAAAATTGTCATTATAGTTAATTAGTTTAAGAATGTGCATATTAATTATCTCGGTAACGGAAGGACATAAAAATGGACATGGTTTTTCCAGTTAATTAGTGTTTATCCAAACTTTGTGAAGTTGATGAAGCTTTCCACTTGACTGAAACACATTTTGTTCCCCATAGTTTAATACATACTAATAAAACATTTCTTTTAGTATGAACCTGAAGTTCAAAAATCTTGTCTGAGTGTCCTTCCGTTACCGTGGAATTGCCCATTACCATTCTTGACTCTTAACCCTTGTCTTAATTCAGTTCCCCTCCCGCGCGAAGCGCGAAAGCTTTGACCTTTCATTAACATTATTTAAGAAAGAAGACAATTCGCTGTACATGTAACATTCTCTTCTTTTAATCCTTGTCTTAGTTCAGTCCCTCCTCCTGCGCGAAGGCTTTGACATTTCATTAAATTATTAGAGAAAGAAGACAATCGTTGTACCGTCTTCGACTCTTAATCCTTGTCTGGATTTCAAAAATGTTTTTTGTCTGCTCCTTTTTCTTCCTACGTCCTCTTCCTTTTCTATCCTCTCTTTTTTTTGGGGGGGGCCGCCCCCACCGCCCCCTGTGGGGTAGTGAGCACATTTTTTTTTTTTTGGTCCTCAGAAAATTTTAAATTGGCACCCCCCCCCCCCCCCTTGAGCGCCAGGGGGGGCCCACCTCCCCAAAAAGGTAAAAACCATGTGTTTTTACATGATTTTTTTGTCATTTTACAACAAACGCATAAAAAAGTATAATTAACTAAAAAATGAGAAAAAATGAGAAAAATTATGTCATTTCAGCATTATGTGTAAACCACCGTTATGGAATTCAAAATAAACCATGATTAAATCCCCCCCCCCCCCCACCCTCCCCTGATCTACACTTTGTTGGTGGAAAAATTGCAGCTGATCTCCCCTACCTTTCTTCTTTCTCTTTTTTTCTTTCCCTTTCTCTCCTCTTTCCCTTTCCCTTCCCTTCCCTTCCCTTCCCTTCTCTTTTAGGTTTGCTGGGGGGGGGGGGGGGGAGACAAGGTCCTTTTGGCCCCTACCCTTTTACACACATTGTTGGCGGGATTAACCGCAAATGATCTATTTCCCCTTCTTTTCACCCTTTTTTTTCTCTTCCTCTTTTTCAGTCTCTTTTAGCTCTCCTTTTTTCCTTTTCCTTCCTTCTCTCTTTTTTTAAGCGGGGGTGGGGGAGGCAAGGGCCTTTTGCCCCACCCCACCCCGATCCACAACTTGTTGGCGGGAAAATTGCAACTAATACCCCCTTCTATTCTTTTCTTCTTCCCCAATTTAATTCCCTTTATCTCCTCTTTTCCTTTTTTCTTTCTATTTCCTTCCTTCTCTCTTATTTTTTTGATTGGGGGGAGGCAACAGCCTAGGAGGCGAGGCCCCCCCCCCCCCAATCTCCTTCTACCTCCTTTTCTTTTCTTCTTCCTCTTCTTTCTTTCCCTTTCTCTCCTCTTTCCCTTCTTTTCTTTCTCTTTCTCTCTCTCTTTCCCCCCCTTTTTCTTTTCCTTCTTTTTTTTTCCTTCTTTTTTTTTTTCCTTCATTTTTTGTTCCCTTTTTTTTTTCCCCTTCTTTTTTATCCTTTTTTTCCTTTCCCCCCCCCCCCCCCCCTTGATCCGCCAGTGTCTAGATCTACCAATACCAGTTTGAATTATGCATGAACGTACCGTTTCAGTGGTTCCGATATAAAAATTGGATAACAAGTCCATAAATTTCGCCTTTGGAAATAGGTAATGACAACTTTGAATTTGATACCTTTACAAAAGAGAAAAATATTTATAAATCAGCAAATTAGATCTAAATTAGGAAAAACGGGGGGAGAAAGTTTTTGTACCAAAAGTGGTCCAAAAGTGGTCCAAAATCGGCTCAATCTCCCCTGGTTGTGCGAGGCGTATGGGTTACCATCTGTGTATGGGGAATGTTGACAAAACTATAGATCTACCAGACAGTTATTTCCGTCTAGACCTAGTACTAGATCTAGGCCTATTATTATTAAGCATGAGTAGTGCTGAGAATAGACAGCAATAACCATCTGATTTGGGTCATTTCTTTAATAAAACTGACATTTGTTGTCATTCCCCAATACAGATGGCAACCCAGAGATCTCGTACCGTGGGGGTAAATTAGAGCCACAGCGTAACAGCTTTTCGTTACCGACATTTCTCCCCCGATTTTCTTTATTTAGATCTAATTTCCTGATTTCTAAATCAGATGTAAATTAGGTCGGTCTATATATCTCCTAATTACAGTTTTCAAAATTTGCTAACCTATTATAGAATGTGAAATTTTCGGACTTACTTATATGAATTATCCAATTTGTTCCTCAGAACCGCGAAGCACTTACGTTCATGCATTCGAAATATTACCCGGCGGCCGATATATTTCCGGGTCCACCTACCAAAACATAGCCAATGGCCAATCAGAGCACTCGTTTCGTGGGAGTTCGTTGGTCAAGCCGGGCCGACTCGTATGTAGCTACGGTAGCTATTGGACGTTCGAAAAGAAAAAATTAATATTCATCAACTAAAACCAAGACGGATAATGTTGACGACGAGACTTTCTCGGATTAATCATTAATTTAGGATCTAAATGAGCAAGCTATCGTAAGTCAAATAAGCTATATATATGTTATTTTTAATTAGACTCTAATTATTGTCATATTGCAGCATGTGTGAGGATGTAAAGAGTGAAAATCTCGTAGCATATCTCATTCATCGCGGTCCTGCCGAACCGAACCATTGGTTCCGTACAGTCCCGATAGGACAATCTTCAGTCTCTATAATCGGAGGTCTAGTGGAGCCAGACGTAGTCTCAGTGGAACAACCGACGATTAACTGTTAGAGAGACTGAAGTTTTCGGTCTATGCTGAGAAGTGCTATGTTTTTTATCTGAAACCACTGGAAACCACGTTGAATATTAATGTCGTAGTACGTGTGAGACGATAAATGAAACTCGGGAAACGTGTGTTAGCGTAACCGGTGCTTTAATTCATAAACCGTTGATTCTCGGTGATTCATGCACGCAGAAACGGGAAAAAAACCCAAAGTCTTCAGCAATAAACCACTGAAGCTCTCAACTACAGTGGAGAAGGAAGTGAAGGGGAAAAGGGAGACACCAAGAAACTACCAGCAATCAACTCAGCTCAGCTCAGCAACAGAAGCTGCAACATGCAAGTCCTGATCTTGCCCTCGAAAATACTGCCAAACAGTTGAACCAAAACCCTCGTTAAAACAAGGAAACCGCGTGACTCTGTAATACATAGCTACAGGCACAGCAACAACGTCCTCTCCGCAATTGAACGTGACATGAATGTGATTCAATACTAACATGTATGTTAACACATTAACGTGGGCGGCGTACCACACAATAAATCATTCATCCGCAAAATCATGTGCAACACGCGTAGCGAACTAATTTGCATAATCGGACAAGTCCGCGATCTACATAAAACATAAACTAGACTAGTCCACATTCCCACATTAATAATAATAATAATAATAGTGGGTTCTTGTATAGCGCTCAGTCAGATTTGACCCTCCTGGCGCTCCCGATTAGCAAAAAATCGGAATCCATGTTGAAAAAGATTTTCAAAATGGATTTCGATTTTGACCCATAATTTCCTAAAAAGGGACTATTAAACTGATTATTTCAGTCAAGTTGGTAAGTGGAACTGATTTATTATAGCCTAGGCCTAATTTACAATATAACATGCTCGAGGTAAAATGACATTTTGGGGGATTTTGGGGGCAAAACGCTACGACCAGGACTGGCCGTGGCGTTAGCAAGGACATGTGTATAAACGGCTTCCGTCTCTAAAGAGAGAGCCGGCCGACCCTATTCCAATAAGAGGCTAACGAACGAAAGAGACGGAAAATTCGGTCTACTTACCAATAGACCTACCAGGACCAATGGCAATGTCATCATCACTCCCGTAACTGCGAGATCTTGCAGTTATACACACATCTGTACCTTCACACAATTTTCTCCTCTTAACTGCTGCGGGATGATTTGCCATTTTCTATTATGACCTGGACTGGAGCTACTGCCCTGGATGAGACATGCGCTGCACAGTATAAACACGGGAGCTTCCTCTGCTCTGCAGGCAGCACATTGGGACGAGACAGCTTGCATGTAGCTAGAATCTAGACTGAAAATAGACAGAAAATAACCGTCTGATTTGGGTCATTTCTTTAATAAAACTGACATTTGTTGACGGAGGTCTAGTGGAGCCAGACGTAGTCTCAGTGGAACAACCGACGATTAGAGAGACTGAAGTTTTCGGTCTAGACTGAAAATTGACCTGGCTGCTGCTAGCTGGAGGGGGTTCGGTAACGGTCCGCTCGCGGTCGGTACGTACTTATACGGTCGATGATATGCTTCGCGCGCGCGGCGTCTGTGCATGCTCTGAGTGCATCCTTTCCGTATGCCATGTCCATATCCATATGAATGCATTGGTTTCCATACGCACTATAAACTGAACATTCCGAACAAAAATGCTAACGATACGGTAGATTTAAAAAACAAATATGTATTGACCTTACTGTCGTTACCGAGCCGCGATGGTCCACTCTAAGTTCAAGTTCAAGTTTCAAGTTTCAAGTTTATTTGTCTTCCAGAAAACACATGTGAAAAAAATATAATAGAGTATAATCATAACAGTACAATGTAGAACAAAGGAAGTTCCTATGTAAGTGGCCGGTAAGTGGCCGAGGCATTTATTAGTAGAAGAAAGATGCATGCACTGTCTTTTTACAGAGGAAAAGGGGAATTAATTAATGCAAAAAGGGGCACAGATTAGGATAGGGGCACTTATCAGACTCTGAGGTGCATGAAAAGGGCATAATATAGAAAAGGGAAGGTGGGCACTTTTCTGAAGTTAAAGGGACAATTTCCCCTACGTAAAAAGGAGCATTTTTGGGGCCGGGTACATAAAAAAAAATGCCAGCTCTGGGTAATAGTATAGAATTATCATAATTACCTATTTATTTCTTTATTTATTCATTTATTTATATATTTATTTATTAACTCTATCTGAACTAGAATATATTTACAAATATCATACATAGTACATTCAAAATGCGCACCAATTCATTCATTTTATAAACAGTTTTAAAAGACAAGCCGTTAAAGGTAATACAAAGTTTTGGGAAATTTCGAACATTGGGTGGATAGTGATTCGTATAGTGATTTGTATATAAATGGATGCCCCTGCATGTGGATGTACAGTCAAACCTGTCTATAGCGACCACCCAAGGGAAACACAAAAAGTGGCCTTTGTAGATAGGTGGTCTTTGTAGACAGGTTCATTTAGTACATGATTCAATGAGAATCCATTTTCAAGGGAAACAACAAATGTGGCCTTTGTAGACAGGTGGTCTTTGTAGACAGGTGGTCACTAAAGCAGGTTTGACTGTATTATAAGCACCAAAAATATTAGCCCCTAAAACACTTCTGCTTTCGAGAAAAATTGAATATAAAAATTTACCGGTGCTCCCGATAAATTTTGATAAATTTCAAATAGTGCCTACAGCCGCACAATGGAAGCTGCGATCCTGACAATTTCAAAATATGTAGTTGTGATATATAATTACCAAACGGCATTAGCTAATCGGTCGATTTTAGTCTACATTGTTTCAGGGTTTAATAAATATCTTGACCTTGAGAGGGAGCTACAACATAAATAGTTTAATATTCATAATTTCATAACTTTAGACTCGATTTCAACCGCGACAACGATCACTGAATATAGTAGGATCGCATATGCTTCCAATATGTTCATTATTTTGAACCAAATTCATGACCCCATACCAAAACTTTGTATTACCTTTAATACTTGTTTTTTTTTACTATTCTACGAGTATAATGTACAATTCTATTTTTCTTGCGCTTCATAAAACCACATTCTTCACTCGTTTGTTTTGGTGTCTGAGAAAAGTTGCAACATAATAGTTCTTGCAAATTTGCTATTTTTTTAAAGCTACATGGCAAGTACAGGAAAATCAAATAATCGGGACATTTGCCAATTCATATTTTGACCGGGCATCGCTCCAAACGAGTTGAATTGCCGAGCCAATTAAAACAACTCGTCTTCTAGTTCCAAACAAATTGACATCATCGAGTTCCATTAACTTGTCATCTCGTCTTCTCGTGAAAAACAATTCAACTTGCCGAGTTTTAACAAACCGTCATCTCGTCTTCATTCTTGTCTTTAATAAGTCGACTTGCCGAATTCCAACAATTCGTTTTCTCGTCTGTTAACTTGTCTTCTCCCCTTCTTGCCCTAAGTTATTATAATATCGTTATCTCGTCGGTACTTTTAAGCTTCCAATCCCACGTGCATTTACATGTATTTTACATGCTACATCAGGCGCGTACGCAGGATTTTTTCAAGGGGGGGGGGGTTAACATTTTTAAATCGGGCCGAAAATTTCGCAACGACTCAGCCAACCGCTGAATAAGCGGGGGGGGGGGGGGGGGGGGTAAGAGGACGCTTCTTTTTCTTTCTTTTTTTGGTCTCGAAATTTGGAAAGTTGACATTTTGCTCCGTTGGGGGGGGGGGGTAAGGTCAACTTTTTAGGTCAGCCATTGGTATAATTTTCATTTTTTTTTTTTATTGAAAAAAATTAAAAAATTAAAAAAATTACTAAAGGGGGGTTTCCTCCAAAATACACTGTCGCTCATGAAGGTGGAATATTTTTTTTATATTCCAATTTATGGAATTATTTTAAAAATAATTTAAAAATAATAGATCTAGATAATAGTATACATTCTCAGATTTTATTGAATAATAATTTGCCAATGTGTGTTTTGCGTGACTGCTAAAGCATGTGTATGCTACTATGCTTATCAACTAGGGGACCTATGCCCTTAAGTCATAAATGACAGTAATGAGGATTAATGCCCCCAAAAGGGCACTAATATAGCACATCGACACGGTTTTGATCCTGGGGCCTCACAGTTACGAGGCCATTGCTTTGTCACTGAACCATGACTGTACGCAGCGGGGGCTAGTGTAGGGGGCAGTTTCCATAAGTTAAACAAAACACAGAAAATGCAATAAATTTTCAATAATTTATTGCATTTAACCCCGGTGCCTAACATTAAAAAAAAATCTGTGTGCCCATGCCTTGAGCCATAATGCATGGCCGTCCAGAGGATTTTTTTATGTTGGAGTCGGAGACCGGGGTAAAATGCAATAAATTATTGAAAATTTATTTGCATTTTCTGTTTTTTTTTAAATTTATGGAAACTGCCCCCTACCCTAGCCCCCGCTGCGTACAGTCATGGTTCAGTGACAAAACAATGGCCTCGTAACTGTGAGGCCCCAGGATGAAAACCGTGTCGATGTGCTTTATTAGTGCCCTTTTGTGGGGCATTAATCCTCATTACTGTCATTTATGACTTGAGAGCGTAGGTCCCCTAGTTAATAAGCATAGTAGCATACACATGCTTTAGCAGTTCCGCAAAACACACATTGGCAAGTTATTATTCAATAAAATCTGAGAATGTATACTATTATCTATATCTATTATTTTTAAATAATTTTTAAAATAATTCAATAAATTGGGGTAAAACTAAAATATTCCACCTTTATGAGCGACAGTGTACACACATAAAAATACCAAAGGGGGGGTTCACCCCCCCCCCCCCCTGCGTACGCGCCTGTGCTACATAATGGTTCAATATCAATCCCCGACCAGTTTTACCATACATCATGTACAGTTAGGTGAGAATTGTCCTTACAAAACTTGATATAAAAATCTTGATTTGATTTATACGTTAAAACTCAAAACTTCACTAAACCATATTATGATTATTTTGGTAGTACTGTAATACCATTTTCCATCACGTGCACCGCAGGACTTATTTATAAAATAATGATAGAAAGAAAAAGAAATTGCCAATCACACTTAGCCTCAACAATACATCTTTAATCATAAGGATGTTCTGTCAATCAAATCAAAGGCCTTTTTAAAAATCAGTAATGCACTAATAAAATAGAAAATTCTTAGATTATCGACTTCAGAAATCAGTTGTTGAAACCCTTGTTATCTGTCGATTACTTCTTCGGCCTCACGAAATTTAGTAATCCTGTGTGGTTTACAATAAAAGGTAAAAAGTTATCCGAAAAAAACGTAACAATAATTATGTGTGATTCCTCGATAATCATCAGGGTTCGGTATTTTGACCTTTCTTGTAGATATGAACAATACTAGCCCGATACACCATTCTGTTGGAACAAATTAAGCAACTTGTCAATACAACAAGAGGTGATGTATAGTCTAGTGAATAGGTCGTCGGACTGTGGATTACACAGGGTCCGCGGTTCGAGTCCCGCCACCGCACTAATGTCCTTAGGCAAGACATTTATCTTCATTTACCACTCTCCACCCAAGTTTTAAATGGCTATAGCGATAGGAAGGAATTAGCCCTTGAATGCTGTGAGCCCCGAATGCTGCAATTTATGAGCAACCGAAATCGGTAGCCTAGCAGAGCCGGGATAATATTGGAACGCCTTGATCACATTGCATGGTGGATATGTGCGCTATATAAATATCCAATATTATTGACATCGAAAACAAAATTACTAGTAATACATCGATTCAGCATGCCATTGGTATAATAATTACAAAAACACGATTTTTTTTTTATCAAATCCTTACTGGCATTTTTAAAGTTCTTTATCATTCTTTCAACTTCCTCTAGACAGTGTGACTGGTGCATTCAAAACATCATGTTATAGCAGACCTGCTTATGATCATGACATTCCATGTCATTTATTATTATTGTGATAATCAGAGCACTCACCAATCTCCAATCTCAACGCTCCTAATTGACAAGCACAGAAGGGCGCCGGAGCGACTTTCAAAGTGGGGGGGGGGGGGTGGCGCCAACAAAAAAGAGCGCTTTCTTAAAACATAAAAAAGGGCAACTACAAAGATAAATTTCAAGGCGAAAATAAACACTATTATTTAGACATTGGTATATACCCCTACATTGTGATTACATTATCTGGGACGCTTTGAATATTTTTTTTTCTCTTTATACATCATACAAGATATTGCTTAAGCATCGTACTTTGCAGTTGGGTGTGTGGTTTGAATATTCATTTGCGAGCGAGCGAAGCAAGCGAGGGAAAAATGTAAGATTATGATAATTACATAACTACCTAATTATATCATTACATCATTAAATAAATGTGAGTGAGTATAACGAGCGAGCTTTGGGGAAATAGCTCTTAGTCGCTTTGACTTAGGGGCACGTGATGACAGGAAAAGGGACACAAAAAGTAGGTATAATGTCAAAATACAAAGGGTAATAAATATCAGAGGTGAAAATGGGGCACTTCTTATACGT